TATTATATATATATTCTATTAGAAGAGGAAGAAGATCCTTTTACGCATTTCCTATTATTTTTATTTAAGTTTTTTTTGCTTGTGAACTTTTACTTTGAAAATGTTCCAAACTGCTTTTGATCGTTGTGGAGCTTTCAAAAAATCGTTTTTACCAAACGCATTTTTACAGTTATCGCCAATCATGTTTATAGAACTAAATTTGCATAAAACAACATTTAGTAAACTTCTAAAGAATACTTTGGTAAAATTTACTTGCGTTGAAAATTTGCGATATTTCTGCTATTTTTTGGTAAATTTACTTTAGCGGTTAGTATCCATTTATTCTGCCAATATCTAACAATTTTCTTGTATGGATTTACCGTTCCAATTTAGGGCGACCGCACTCAAACACATGAAAGAACTGTTGAAAATTCCGATTTTTCACGCTAGATTCGTGACAAAAGTTACTAAAAACTTTTCCAACTGTGTTCAAATAAGTGCATTCATTATTCTTGTCTGAACGTGCCATTCTGCGACTATTCCCCTTTTTATTTAAATATGTTTGCCTTTTTTAAATCAGTCCATAACAATCAGTAACGCTCTGTATTTTATAAAAATATAGCTTCCCTAACCAGCTCGTTGAGCCTTTTTTTGAACATCGTTACTTTACTCAATTTACATAGTTACAATTGAAGCTTCTTCTGCCCAGAATATTGGTATTAAAATAAATTTTTAGCTCTCGTATTAATGTTTCACTGACCTACATTTTGTACTTTATCATACACTTCTTGCACTTTCTCCATTAATAGACTCGAATAGGATCGCGTTCTTATAGACTAATCGACACATTTCTACAATCGAATGATTAGTTTAATTGAAACTGATGGTAACGGTTTTATATTAGTGTGCCTCACTCGAGAAACTTATATGGTTAATTTAATATGTAATATCTATTACTGTAAATTCATATCTACTATGGAAAGTTTAGAAAGCACACTAATAGTAGCTTTTTTTTTAATTTTAATTTGTCTTTTCAGCATTTAGATTGAAATGGAAAAATATGTAATTAAAGCAGTTGAAATACCAACGAAATTTAACAAAATTCACGTTAAATTCAAGCGCTTGCACAAAGAATTAACAAATCAATCAATGGTTGATTTGTAAAGTTTGTATCTTTTTTATTATATTTCATTTTGCAAAAGCGCTTTTCCTCATTATTTTGTTGTCCAAACTACAATTTCAAAGAGAAGAACTCCACCAAACCAAAGAACAGTAACTTTTATAGAATAACGAAAATACACTTTAAGCGGTACAAATCCGCGTTTTACAAACAAATCAATAATTGATGCTTACCGCTTTTAATTCTTTATAGACGCCACACTTTGTAGTAATATAAAGGACAAGAAACTTAAGTTAAGGCTGGGTAAGTAAATTATTTTGCACATGTAAATTTATATTGCTAAAAAGTGCACAATTTACGAATTTATTATAATGTTGTAAAATCCCACTTTTGGGTCCCAACAATTACACATAAAACGTTTCCCAAATATCGATTATTCCTCAATATATTAGCTTTCAACAATGTTTCCTCATCTATAAGTTAATGGCATAAGAAAAACAATGGGAAAGCAGTTAAAATTGAATTTTTCTGATTCTCAAAGTGCGCAATATTCTGTTGACAACTTTCAAAATTTTTATTTCTTATTAGCAACGCTTTATTTAAAAATATTCCTCCTGGAGTCCATGACTACATTTATAAAAAACACCGTCCAAAAGCAAATTCTATTAATTTAACATGTAATAACAAGCGAAACATGTACTTACTTGATGGATCGTTAACCAAAATACCAAAACTACACTAGATGCGATGCGAATTTTTGCGACAACCTGCGAACTGCAGAAGTGTACCAAGGAGAAAGCCGGGAAATCAGTCCCATGAAAGCACCGCTTAGACTCTTAGAGTAAACGTTTGAACAAAATTGGCATGGTACTTTTATATAACGTTTCAAAAGTGATACTGGTTCACTATGTAAAAGTGAAAACGACGTCGCTAGTGGCTGGCTGGATTAGCCTCTAGAAAATTTCATCTGCAAAAATTTAAGAAAGTCTAGAATATATGAGTGGCATTATAGCGAAATCGATCATGTCCATTTTTTTGCTTGAGTTGATGTTTTTATCCCATTCAATAACAAAAAGGTTCTGATGCTGTAAATTGAATGTAGATTATTTATATTTTGTGATGGATGGCTTTGAACAGGAAGTTCCAACTGAAGTTACCCCCAAAAATGTAGGAAAAACTCCAAAGCAAAGAGCTAATAAACAGACAAAATGAAATGAAACAAACAAAAATGTTTGATTCGAATAACACACAGTATTTTTTTTCAGTTTATGGTCTTTGGGTCTTTGAGTCACGAAAAACGTGTAATCACGTTGTTTTAGTAACCGATATCTACGCCCGATTTAGATATTGATTAAACTACGCAAAATATATAACGAAAAAGTGGCTTAACCACCAACTTCCAATTCAGGCGCATTTATTTATTCGCTTTGCATTCTGTTAGAACGAAATATGGAATGCAAGTTTTTGGACAGAAAATTAACATAAAAAATGATCTAAAGACATATTTTCAGCACTATTTCAGAGACTCTAAATAATGTAAATTTTTCCGAATTAATAAATTATTTGCTTGCTCTTAAAATCAAGCTTTTATAACTGCTTGGCTTCTCCGGATTGAAGAGATTGAGCTTTTTAAAAGGAGTTAAAGTTCAGGAAGCTTTGCATCAAGAAGAATCAGCTAAAAAATTAGTGACGAAATAATATGTGAGAGTTTGGAAAAATTTTCGGTATTGGTTAAATTTTTGACAAAATTTGGACTATTCTTCACTTCGTTCGTGTACCAAACTACAAAATATTAATAAAAGCAAGAAGAAGTTGGTGTGTACACACTGGATGAAATTCAATCAAACAAGTTTTTGTAAATAAGTGTGTATGTATAAAAAGGCCAAGCGCTTTCGACAATTACGTCATCATCATCATCAAATTAAAAGTGAACAGTGAACATCCTCAAGAGCACCGAACCGAACATGAAAAACAGCCAGAAATGGTCTAAAGGGCTAAAATTGTAAAAGACAAACTTACTTGAGGAACTTGACTAGTCGGCCTTAACAGTGTGGCGACCAGTCTGGTAAAGATACTTTTCTAAATCTTTCTAAATGATGATGAGGTAATTGTCGAAAGCGCTTGGCCTTTTTATACATACATACATACTTATCTACAAAAACTTGTTTGATTGAATATTAATAAAAGTCTGTATTTTCTGTCTCTCTACAGTGCTAAAATCGCCTTTGAAAATGCAAGTTGTTCGTGCTTGTGAAACGTTACGTAGAAATTATTGGCCAAGGCGGCCTAAGAGCCCGAAAAACTCACTAGTTTAATTGCAAATGCAAACTTTTTTCATTTGCCTCTAGTTTGTGTTTAAAGCTGATCTAAGCGGCTTAATTTGCTAAGTAAAAAAGCACATTTACTTATTAACCAAACTATGCAACTGAAGAACTAGAAAAGGTAGGTAATTGAAATGTGACATTAAAATGATTAAAAATAACCAGCAACAAACTGAGAAGAAAGCGTGAACTGAGGGAAACTCACGCTAATCGCAAAAGGTGCCGATTTTTTTAAAGGTAGAGCAAACCCATAGAAAAAAATGGAAGAATCAAATCAACTGCGAGACAATAATTATTAATGCAGAGAAACTATAATTTTTCCAAGCTCTACATCTTTGACCTAAAACACAAATACACTGGCAGTATCTACCTAAATATGTTTAAAACTTGACAATACCCTCTGACTAGAGCAAGTAATAACTTATATATTTCTACAGACTGAATAAAAAGCAATCAGCAAAAAGCCGAGAAAACCGAGCTCAAATGCAGATCACCTCAAAGGTATCAAACCTTTCAACTTCCTGCCAAATTGAGCAACAATTATTATAAATTCCAGTCAAAATGCGATTTTTTCTGAAAGTTTCTGGGAAAATACACAAAATGTGCTTAAAAACCATTTATTTTCGAAATCGACATAAGAACATCTAGTATATAATTAAATTCCAAAAATTTTGAATAATCAAGTACGTAATTCAAAAGCTACTTTATATCCATCCCGAGGACGCAAAAGCAAATTAATCTTCACTTCTATATCATCAATCGCTTGGTAAGAGGTCACTACTCGATATTTTCGAAGTACTGTCGCCAGAAGCGTCTTCATTGCCATCATTGCATATTTCAAGCCTAAAAAAGGTAGAATTTACATTTGCGGGCAAGGTTCATTGTTTGTCATTAATAGATTATTGAAAATAATGTAAGTTTTTCTTTTTTGAAACCCATGAAAGCAGATATTTACATGGTTCTGCCACTGAGTTTCTTTGAAAAGTTCCATATACATTACAGCTTTGGGTGTATACATTGCTGGCTAATTATTTGTGAAATTGTTTTTTTTCTTAAACCGCAGATTATAGTTAAAGCACGTAGTCAAAAAATATCTGCAATCAATGGGGTTTGAAATTTACCTTGGAAAAGCCCAATCATCTAGTCTACGTGATTGCCCAAAATATTTTCGCTTCCGCCTGGTAATGTGTTATATGGTATGCGAAACTTGGTAGTAAATTGAGTAAAATTGACCTCCAAAACGCAAATATTTTAAGTACCAATTAAATAGCTGCTTTACTTCGAGCTCTATTAGGGAGAATAGCTGGAAAGTATTTGTTTCCAAGATTGCCTTATTTTAATCGAGCCTGCATCTCTTGCAGTTACCAGAATTTCAATGATGAAAGTGACCCACCCTATACAGTTACTCGAACTAACGTAAGTAATTTTTCATAGTTTCTTATTTAACTTCTACCTTGCATTTCTGTTCTAATTGAAATTTGTGAGCGTCTTCTAAACAGTTTTATTGGAAAGTTGGATATTTCGAAAAGAATGTGAGAGATCGACTCAATAAACAAAATTTTCATATGAAACGAAAGCGAGAATAAGAATTTGCAAAAATAACAGGGCACGTTTGGGCTCAACAAATTGTATTAAATGATTTAAATCGATATGAAGAGCCCAAAAGGATTTTTCAGAATTATTTAAAAGTTGGGTAACTAGAGATCTTTGTTTAGATAGTAAATAAAATCACTATTTTGTAAAATTGTCGAACGCAGATACATTAGAGTTGTATAGTGGTCAAAGCCAAATTTAAGTAATTCAATTAATAAATCTCAAAAGCGCTTTTTTGGAAACATCGTTTCCAGTACTTTTTCCTTTACATTACATCTGCAAAAATGCATATAAAAGACAACAATTGACAGAACACTTTGTCTTCCATCCTGAGATTAGCACAAACCCAAATCTGTACCTTCTTGCATTCGACTTTCAGGCTGAATCGTCTTAACTTTTTTAAGAAAATTAAATACCAACCTATACAGTTTCTGGGTCCATATGAAAACGGTATATAAGATCCCGGTTGGATTGCGGATGCGTTTTCCGGCAAAAATCGATCAGGATCGAATTTATAGGGCTGTGGCCAGTATTTTTCGTTCCTATGAACATTCAGTATTCCGAACACAATCGAACAGTCCTTTAGAATCACATGGTCACCTACGGTCAAATCGTCATTATTTATTTTGTCACGAATTTCTCTTGATGTTTTAACCAATGTCAATGTTTTCTTCGGCCTTTCGAACTAGAATCGCCCCGAGAGGAAAAAGTCGCATGGTTTCCTTTATCACCCGTTCCAAATATTTTAGATGGGGCAAATGATCCAATCCGACACTTGCGTTTGGTCCCACAACATCCAGGATCTCTGCTAATACTTTTTCCTGAAAAAGTATTGAACTTGTACCTTTTTCTTTGTCTTTGTTGTTACAAAGTTAGTTTTCATGTTTTTTTGCAACATCATTGACCTTTGCAACTGTTGCTCAACCAATACTTTTTAAAATTATTATTTAACTTTTCAAGTTCAGTAAACAAACATTATTCAACAACAAATCACGTTCCAGAACAGTAAATCCAATTTAGACTGTATTTTTCGACAGTCACACAAAAATTTTGTTTTTGACAGTTTTCCTTATTCAACGACTCAATGATAAACCAGAAAAATGAATACAAATTTGTGGCCGACTTTACCATCATGATCTATATTTTTATTTGCAAAATACCTGAATATCTTGATGAATTGCTAACATTGTAAGCGTGAAGCAGTTGGTGGCCGCTGTCGTGTCCGAACCCTTAAAAACATTTTTATATAACTATTTAGCTACAAATTATAATTCAAAATGCATACTGCAACCATCAGAGTGAGGGTTTCATTCATTATTTCCTCGTCAGTAAACTTAAAGTCTCCACTATCGTTTATGTCCAACAGCAAATCAAGAAAGGCTCGTCTCTTGGGAGTATCTTCAGAAATAAAATAATTGACATCAACTTAGTTTTGGCAACTTAAAATTACCTTCTACTGTAAGTTCATGGGTTTTCCTTCGTTCTTTTAGCGCCTTTTTTTGGACCAGTACCTGTAAACTAGAATGTTTAGTTGTGAAGAAGCAGAATTTTAATTTAAAAACCTTTTTTGTAAACCCACGAAGCTCTTCAGCTGCCGCTTTAAATTCTCGCCCTAATGGCGTGAGGTTAAACAATGAGTCCCAGTGATAGAAGATATTAAAAATTCTTATGGTGATGATTTCTAAAATTCTAACAAAATCGCAAGCAATTATTGATAACGAATTGAGGTCTTGATAGTGGAATTCTCACTTGTCTGCCTGTTCAGCAAAACTGCTTTCGGTGGATTGAGCTTTTATCTGAACTCCCATGGCTGTTTCTGGAAATTTTTAACTGCATAAGCGAGATTTATGGGACAAACAAAAATCTTAACACAAAACTTCACTTACCGCATATAATATCCAAAGTACAACTAGTAATCAGCTTGAAAACATCGACTTCTCCTTTACCAGCGTACTTTTCCAAAACACCAGCCAGAATATCAGACTGTTCCGTAAAAACGTCCATAAACCCATTGAGGATTTGTTGGTTGAATGTTGGCACAATTACTTTTCGATGCGTTTTCCAATATGGAACTAATATGAACATACTTGTGGGCTTTTAAAAAAATTATGTAAAATAATACAGATTTAACCGTCAACTAAGCACAATTAATGATATTTAAAGCTGCTTTCGTTATGGTTAATACACGCGCATTTTCGGATGTTGTTTATATTTATTTTGGCTCATTTTTTAAAACTTCAATGATTTTTTGGGAAAAATTAGTGGTAGTGCTGCGTTGAATTTTGCCACTTGATTAATCGACTTGAAATTTTAAGATTAATTTAAAGTTCCGGAATCTATTGTAAAGCAGCGCTTTACTGGATTCTGCTCAATTGCGAAGATAGCTAACGTGAAACTTCTTTTAAAGCTGGATAGAAGCTCTAGCGGATTTCCCATCTGATTTTTGAGAAATCACCTCTTCCGCGCTTGGAAAAAATATTTTAAAAGCCCTGGATTTCATTGCAAAGAAGAGTTTTATTGTATTCTGTCAAAATTATTGCGATAATTAAAGTAAACCTTGCTTTAAAGGGTACTAGAAGCCGGAAGCCAATATATCATCGAGTTTTTTTTTAAATGGTCGCTTGTACATGAAAAATGCAGTAAAAAATCCACAAAAACAGCCAACTTCGAGAGTTTATTGCTTAGAATTTCTTGACTAGATTCCACCAAAATTTCCACGGTTATTAACGCAAAGCTTTCTTTAAAGAATGCTGGAAATTGCAMGGTGATATTTYAYCGGATTTTATGGAAATTGCYTCTTAAAAACTGCAGTGCAGAAACAGCGCAAAAGTAAAATACTGTTTTTTGGRATTTTTGCGCGAATCTACCCAAATCTATACAATAWCTAACCCAGAGCTTCATCTAAAGGGCGCRAAATCTGATTCTTGAAAAATTGCCCCYTAAAAAATTTAGTGAAATAAGTGAGCAAAAGTAAAAAACTGAGCAAAATTTTCATTCCGAACAAGCTTTTCACTAGATTTTGCACACACTCACAAKCTAACGAAAGCAAATCTTTAAAAGGTGTTTAAAAGTTCTGGAATTAATTCCGAAAAAGCTCTTCACAGAATTCTTCTCAGATTCTTATAATAATTAAGCAAATGTACAAAATTGAAAAATGCGGTTTTTGCAAATAGCAATTCAGGATATTTACATATATTTCTTCTAAGCTTTATACCTGATCGTGCGGTAAAAAGTCCTTGTCCCACCACGGGTTCAGCCATCCGGTATAAATATTCTTTTTTCAAAGCATGTGGACTATTCATCAAAATCTCAAAGTACTTCGGATCCGACACAGCATAGAACAGTCGGGTTCCAAACCACACCCTGAATAGTCTCGGGTACTGGTTAAATAGCTGAGATATTGATACAAAAATATCTAAAAACCGTTGAAAGTGTTGAAAACAATTCTATTCAAATCCGGACAATTACCATAAGAATTTCCGCTAAATTTGAGCGCAGATCCTATTAAGGGTGGAGCAAATGGACCGGGCAATTTAAAAGATTCTTTGTAGAGCGTTCTCCTGTTCCATAGAAATTGCAAAAACCAAATTACTAATGTAGAGGTGAGGAACACCAGAAGAAACTGTCTGAGCGAAAATGTTTCAATATTGATAAAATCCTGCCATTCCATTTGTTTCCACATATTTAGGTCCTGCAAAGAAATGCGTTTTGCTCATTTAATAATGTGGGTTATTTGTAAGTTAAAAACGCGATTGAATTTAAAATTTCAAAAAGTAAGTTAGTAACTTTATAATTTATTTTTTATTTCTATGCAAAATATTTAAGAATAGAAGAATATATTAAGGCCTCAATTTACATAAATTTAAGTATTTACTAACCCAATAAAAAATAGACAAAATAAATACATATTGCAATAAATAATTCAGTACTTACTATGACGAAAATCGAGGGAAAACAGTCACTGTCTGTCTAAATCATACGATCATTTGTTCTTTTCATATTTTAAGCTCTAAGTTTATCAGTAGAAAAATGATAGATATTAAACTCGACTTATCCAAATTGCAACATAATGCAACAAAATATTAAATGCTCGCACCAAAATACTACCATAAAATGAATTTAAGCGACTAGGAACAGCTAGAAATGTTAGGATCTTTGATAAGTTTTTGCATGTTTTTAGCTCCTTATCTCTTCATAATTAGTTGCATAAAACAACGTCTAAACATAGTCTAATTAATTCCTTTATCTAATTAAAAATGTGTGGTATTTAAAATTGGAAATTCTCCCCAACCATGTATGATATTCACTTAAAAGTTTAAATTCAAAATTAGAAACTCGTTTATTTTAAAAAATAATTTTAATTAGTGAAAATTAAAAGCTGAAGTGGTCAGTTTGATTAGTAGACAAACACCAATTTAAAATAGCGTGCAACATGGTAACGGCGTTTTATAAAAGATAATTTGACTTACTTGCAATTAAATTAAATTAACTGGAAACAGCCCTTTTTCAAAAGAATCTGAACATGTGACTTCTAAAGGTGAAACGTTGAATTGCAACTAATCTTTAAAACTGCAATTTACTGAAATAGTAAATGAGGGCAAGATCGTAAAAATGTTGCAATAGCTGAAGACTTGTTTTTCTATGACCGAAAGAACTATGTACTTCAAGTCGATCACCTTGAAGGAAAATTTGTTTATTATATAATAAAAAAGTGTGTTTTGCTTTGGATGATTGTTCACAAAGCCTGCATAAATTGCAAATTCAAGATTTAAACTGATATTTGCGTCATGTATAGTTATTTTTGCTTTAGTGTTGAAGATGGCAGGTTCAGTAGACTTTTTAGGGCTAAATACAAATTGATGTTTCTTAAGAAAATTAATTAACCTGTTATATTTTATCTTAGATTAAAGATTAATTTCAAAATAGTTTTCTTAATAGAAAATTTTCGGTTTCTCGGAACAGCGGAACACTTTTTAATTTATTTAGTAGACAACTGAACTACAAAAACAAAGAGAATTAAAACACAGGGTGGCTAAAAATAACCAGCAACAGGAAAAAATGGAGAATTTTAAACAGTTGATGACAAACCGAGGAAAAATCCCGCTAATTGCAAAAGACGCAGATATTTTTAAAGGTGTAGCAAACCCATGGAAAAAAATTCTAAAGTTAAATCTGCTACAAGTAGAAACTTCAAAATTGGACAGATCGTGTAAAAGACAAGAAAAATCAGAATGAGAGACAACATTTATTAATCCAGATTAAATATAATTTTTTACAAGCTCTACATCCTTGAACTAAAAGTTAAATACAAAACACCGACAAATATATTTAAAAAAATGCACAACTCACTAACTAGAGCAAGTAACGACTAAAGATTTCTCCAGAGTGTTTAAAAAACACCCAGAAACGAGCTGAAGTTACTGAAATCTCAATAGAGACTAACGATGGTTTTTCAGAAAATTTAAAACTTTTACCTCAAAGGTAACAATATCTTCAAACATTATAAACATTACAGACTCTTAAATTTGTACAAGTAGCTACTTGAACTTGTTACCGGGTGTGCAAAAAAACCGGAAGCGTCAATCCGAGAATAAATCTCTCTTATCCTGATAAGAGCTGATTTTTTATAAATTTTAAATTCTTAACTGGAAAAGAACTAGAAAATTGACTTGCTGGCTCACAAAAAATATTCATTCGTCAACTTGCGTGACTTGATGTCGCGCGATGCGATTTTTTACAAGCTCTCACAAGTGCTCACAAAAATATTTTCACAAATTAAAAACCCACGAAATAGGACAAAAAAAACTTTAAATTTTTACAGACAATATAAAAGGTAATGTTAACTGTCGAGGAAATTTGATTTTATATTTTGGAGAATTTGTTCGGTTCTACTCTAAAAGAGACAATACAAAAAATTGACAAATCCATGTTTAAAAATTTGAAACTCATGAAGTAGAGAGTTTGAGGCTCATTCGGTAGAGCAAGAAACTATTGGAAATTTTCACGAAGCATATAGCAGTAAACTGGGAAAATTGATTTTAGTCCTGGAAAAATGAATTTTTTTAGGAGCTTATTTTTAGGAGCTTTTTTTAGGAGCTCGAACATAGACAATTACCAAATCCTAATGATTTGGTTACTTTTCTGGGACAGAAATTTTCTGAAAAATACACCAAATCTACATAAAAACTATTTATTTTCGAAATAGCTATAGAAATAAGAACAACCACCATATAAATAAATATTCTAAAAAGTTGGAAGAATCACGTACGTAATTCAAAAGCTACTTTATATCCATCCCGAGGACGTAAAAGTAAGTTCATTTTCACTTCTATGTCCTCTATTCTCTTGTAGGAGGTCACCACTCGATATTTTCGAAGTACTGTCGCCAGAAGAGCCTTCATGTCCATCATCGCATATTTCGGGCCTAAAAAAAGTAGAATTTACATGTGCAGGCAAGGTTCATTGTTGGTCATTAATAGATCATTGAAAATAATGTATCTAAGTTTTGGAATCCATGAAAGCAGGTATATTTAGATGGTTTTGTCACTGAGCTTTGCTGGCTAATCACCTGCAAAATTGCATTTTTTTCTTAAACCGCAGGTTATATTTTAAGCACATAAAATGGGGGATGGGATTTGAAATTTGGGTACCATGAAAAAGGCCAATCGTCTAATCTGCGTTATTGCCCAAAATATTTTCGTTTCCATCTGTTAAATGTGATGTTAAATGTGATTTCTGCTCATTTTCCATTGAATATTCAATGAGATTTGTGTTGCCTTGAGGTACAAAAATGATATGCGAGTATCGGTAATAAATAGAGTAAAATTGAATTCAAGAAATAAAATATTTAAAGTTCTAATTGAACACTTGCCTTACTGCGAGTTGAATTATACAAAGTCGCTGGAAAACTTTGCCTTGATTTAATCCATTTTCTATCTCTTTTAGTTACCGACATTTCAATGATGAGGCTCGAATGTAACCCACCCTGTACAGTTACTCTGAAACAGAGTAACTAATCCATAAGTATTTTTTTAAGGTTTAATATTGTACTTCTACTGTGCATTTCCTAGGTTTAGCCTGAAAATAAGCGTTTGATGAGAGCTAATAGACTCGAAACAGGTCCTGGTGATGCCTGAGGTTAGCAAAAATCGAAAACTGTACCTTTTTACATCCAACTTTCAGGCTAAATAGTCTTAACCGCTTTAAAGAACTTTTTAAGAAAAAGAATACCAACCTATGCAGTTCCTCGGCCCATATGAAAAAGGCAAATACGAGCCCGGTTGGATTGCCGATGCGTTTTCCGGCAAAAATCGATCAGGATCGAATTTATTTGGCTGTGGCCAGTATTTTTCGTTTCTATGAACATTCAGTATTCCGAACACAATCGAACAGTCCTTTAGAATTATGTGGTCACCTACGGCAAAATCACGATTATTTTGTTATAATTTTTGAATTTCTCTTGAAGTTTTCACCAATGTCGATATTTTCTTCAGCCTTTCGAACTAGAATTGCCGCGATAGGAAAAAGTCGCATGGTTTCTTTGATCACCCGTTCCAAATATTTCAGCTGCGGCAAATGGTCTAATCCGACACTTTCGGTTGGCCCCACAACATCCAGAATCTCTGCTAATACTTTTTCCTGAAAAATTCAATAAATTCGTACTTTTTTCCTTGTCTTTGTTGTTACGACGTTAGTGGTTTCAGGCTTTTTTGCAATCTCATTGACCTTTGCAACTGTTGCTATACCAATACTCTTAAAAATTATTATTTAACTTTTCAAATTATTCAACACACCTTCCAGGCAAGCTTTCGCAAGAACGCAAAAGCTCAAGGTAAGATAGGTCAGTAAACATTTCATTATCAAATAATAAACCACGTTCCAGAACAGTAAATTCAATTCGGAATGTATCTTTTAGTGCGAATTTGCAAATTCTCGTTAAAATTAACGAGCTAAGATAATCATAATCCAACAAATTTGAGGCCTGCTTTACCATCACGATCTATACTTATTCGCAAAATACCTGAATATCTTCATGCATTGCTAACATTGTACACGTGTAGCTGTCGACGGTCGCTGTCGTGTCCGAACCCTTAAAAAAATTTAATTTAACTATTTGGCTTCAAATTATAATACAAAATGCGTACTGCAAACAGCAGAGTCAGGGTTTCATCCATTATTTCCTCGTCAGTAAATTTAAACTCTCCACTATCGTTTATGTCCAAGAGCAAATCAAGAAAGGCTAGTCTTTTGGGAGTACCTACAAAAAAAAATCATTTAGCATCAACTTCTTCATTTTCTCCAACTTAAAATTACTTTCTAATGTAAGGCCATGCGTCTTCCTTCCTTCTTTAAGCGCCTTTTTTTGGTCCAGTACCTGTAAACTAGAATGTTTAGTTGTGAAGAAACTTAGAAATTTCAATTTAACAAAACCTGTTTTGTAAACGCGCGAAGCTCTTTACCAGCAACTCTAAATTCTCGCCCTAATGGCGTGAGGTTAAAGAAAAAGTCCCAGTGGTAGAATATATTAAAAATCCTTATAGTGATGATTTCTAAAACCCTAAAAAGATCGCATACTTTTATTGATAGCGGATCAAAGTCTTGTAATGGAATTCTCACTTTTCAAGCTGTTCAGCAAAACGGCTTTCGGTGGATTGGGCTTTCATCTGAACTCCCATGGCAGTTTCTGGAATTTTTTAACTGCATAAGCGAGATTTATGGGACAAACCAAAAATCCAAACTTCACTTACCGCATATAATATCCAAAGTACAACTGGAAAACAGCTTGAAAACATCGACTTCTCCTTTTCCAGCGTACTTTTCCAAAACATCAGACAGAATATTCGATTGTTCGGTGAAAATGTCCATAAAACCATTGAGGATTTTTTGGTTGAATGTTGGCGTGATTACTTTTCGATGCGCTTTCCAATATGGAACTAATATGAACACACTCGTAGGATTTTAAAAAATTATATAAAATAATACAGACTTAATCATCAACTAAGCAGAATTACTTTAAGACTTAAAGCTGCGTTTATTAGAGTTAATATACGCGCATTTTTGGCAATTATTCATATTTATCTTAGCTGACTTTTTCATCAACCAAATAATTACAGAAAATATTTTTTTAAAGGGTGCAGGAAGCTGAAAGTTAATATCTCATCGGGTTTGCGAGAAATGGCATTTTGAAAAATCTAATGCAAATTACGCGCAATGCAATAAAAACTGTTCAAAGTTCGGGAATTTATTGCGAAGAATCTGTTCACTGAATTCTGATCAAGTTTTTATAATAAATACAAATGAATAAAAAAGAAAAATGCTGTTTTTGCACATAATAATTCAGGATATTCTTTTACATAATTTTTTTCTAAGCTTACCAGATCGTGCACTAAAAAGTCCTTGTCCGAATACGGGTTCAGCCATCCGGTATAAATGTTCCTTCTTCAAAGCGTGTTGACTATTCATCAAAATCTCAAAGTACCTCGGATCGGACACTGCGTAGAACAGTCGGGTACCAAACCACACCCTGAATAGTCTCGGGTACTGGTCAAATAGCTGGGATATTGATGCAAAAAGACCTAAAAACCAAAATGTTGCAAACATTTTTGTTCAACCCGGACGATTACCATACGAATTTCCGCTCAATTTCAGCGCCGATCCTATTAGGGGTGGAGCAAATGGACCGGGTAATTTAAAAGATTCTTTGTAGAGCGTTCTTCTGTTCCATAGAATTTGTAAAAACCAAATTACTGATGTAGAGGTGAAGAACACCAGAAGAAACTGTCTGAGGGGAAATGTTTCTATGCTGATAAAATCCTGCCATTCGAGTGGTTTCCACATATTTAGATCCTGCAAAGAAATGCGTTTTGCTCATTTAATAATTTGCGTTATTTGTAAGTTAAAAGCGATTGAATTTCAAATAAAAGAAAGTAAGTTAGTAATTTTATAACTAACTTTTTATTTATATGCAAACTAAGAATATAAGCTTACATTAAGGCCGCATTTTACCTAAATGTAAAGTATTTAACAACACAATAATATACGTATAGGCAAAATAAATATTACAATAAATAATTCAGTACTTACTATGTTGAAGACCGAACTAAAACAGTGAATTTTTCTATAAGTCATTCGACTTTGTATCGAGGAATTATGCTAATTATGTTTTTCTAATATTTTAAATAAACGTAGTAGTAACGTTAGATCAATTTATGATGAGTTTATGCATATTTTTAACTTTATGTTATTGCGTGTGTTATTCTTTATCTCTTCCTAATTAGTCGCATAAAACAACGTCTAGTCAGAATCTAATCAATATCAATATGTCACATAAATTTGGTGGTGTATTTAAAATTTGTACCCGAAAAATAATTATATTTATACAAAATGAAAACCCGAAATTTCATAGTTTAATTACCAACAACCAGTTATGGTTTCTTTTGAAATAAAAAACTTGTTTTTCTTTGGATGGCTGTTTACAAGGTCTGCATAAATTGTAAATTCAAGTTTTGAAGCTATGTTCGCGCTAAATACATATATGTATTTCTCTGGGAATAAATGCAATTTGGTGTTTCCAAAGAAAGTTCCTTAATTTGTTGTATTTTACATTAGATAACATATGAAGTTTCTTAAAAAAAAACGTTGAAGATAGAAACGAGATTTCAATTAAATGTTGCATCTTTGAACAGTGACAAATCTTTTTATGTGGTTACAAAAAAATATTTTTATCAGATATTTATATATTTATAGCATTTATGTATAGCTGTATTCTACTTCTCCTGGTGTTTGTAAGAAAAAAAACGGCACTTTTGAGAACAGCGAACACTTTTTAATTCAGTTAATAGAAAACTGAACTCTGGATTTTTTTGGGCGACGTTCTGATGTTGATTAACAAACTTAAAGCTGCACTTGAGTTATGCAATTATTATTATTAAGCACAGAAACATTATGATATGCTTTGCTATGGGTAAAGGCGGATCCAGCTTTCAAGTCAGGAGCGGGGTCAAGTAGTAGAGTTTCAGTTAGGACCGGCTTCAATTCAATTACAATAAAAATGTAGATAAGTTTTTTAAAAAAAATTCTTTTTTAGTTTTGGACATTTTCAAATTTTGCAAATGTGCAAAATTTCAAGTGCAAGATTTTTTTAAACCATTGAGTTAATCCTAAAACTACATTTTGGGGCTAAAACCAAACCTGTAGCAAACGAGCGTGTGTCCAAGAACAGCCGGCGTTTCAGGCCTTTGAAAATTAAACTCCTCTTGCGGTAAAAGGGTACCCAAAAGGAACTTTGGCCCCAAAACAACTTTTTACGCCAAGTCTATGGGCTTTTTAAGAGTTTTTGAATTTATGAAAAATGTTGATAACTGACCGAGTTACAGGGTAAAAAGTGAAAGTATGTGCAACTTTGACAGTTTTACGCTTGCCAATATTCAGAGCTCATTTCCTTCCAAACTGTAGCAAATACAAATTTTTTTATAGGCAATGAATGTGTCGAGAATACACTTTACAAACAACCTGATGTTCTTTTTTGAAAATTAGTTAATCGACTAAACCAGTGATGAGCAACACGCGGCCCGTTAAACATGTTTTTGCGGCCCGCCAAGCATTTCTAAAATTGAATTTATATTATGGATTTTTCTCCTATCAATATATTGTTATATAATTAAATATAATAAAATGGTAGTACATAAACCGTAACAATTTTTGTGACGAGTTGTTCACTTGTCGGTATCATCTTATGCAGAATAATGTGTCTCACTTTCCACATTTATAATTCGAAAACCTTACTTCTCAAAAATACGCACAATATACAGGGTGTACCGTAAGCTCATGATCAAAAGGGTACTGCGATATTATTTGGACCAAAAGAAGACGATCTGACCTAACTTTTATTAACAAAAAATGTCTGGCTCCTCTGCTATTGATGGTATTGCTGAAATGTCTAGTATTGCTAAGTGACTAGAAAACAGACATTTTTTTTATGCAAAAACTATGAATGCTACAAGATTTTACAAAGAGCACAAAATTGGGAACAAATGATTAGTGCATCAACCTAAAAAAAATGAGTTGATTTCCTCCTCCGACTAAAAAGTTTTGGTAGTTTTTGTACCACCACACTCAAGAATTCACTACTTGTCCAAAACGGATGAACTCGACTGTTTCATCAAAATATGAGTCTTACATAAGAACAAATTCACAGCGAGTTTCACTAAAATACATCGGACCATTCTCCCGATTTCAAAAAAGAAAAAAATTTTGAAAAATTGCCAGACATTTTTTGTTAATAAATGTTAGGTCAGATCGTCTTCTTTTGGTCCAAAGAATATCGCAGTACCCTTTTGATCATGAGCTTACGGGACACCCTGTATAGACATTTTCAACGAATTTCAATTACGAATCCAAATGTTCAAATCTGAGAAGACAGCGGTTTTTATGAAAATGTTTTTCTCGCCATTCAATATCGATGTGTGGATACAGTTCCCGAAGACTTTCAATTGAAAGTGATTGACATGCAGAATAATACCAATTTAAAAAAAATATTTTTCTCAGTAAGCATGGAAAATTTTTATAAATTGTATGTGAGCTCTGAGAAATTTCCGCTTTTGACCAAAAATGCAATGCAATGTTTGTTTACGATCAATTATTTTCAACCATGAAATTAATCAAAAACGACCATCGATCAAGAGTGATGCACGATTAGAATACTGCGTACGTGTAGCTACCTCATAAATTTCCGCTGATCGCATGTATGGAAAAAATAGTGGCAAATTTCGCACTAAAAATTTCTAGCAAATTCGTTTTTTGATTCTTTTTTTGTTTGTATTTATTCTGCATTAATTTTTTTTATTCTAGTGTTTATTACAAATAAAGTTTGGAAAATTATTAAAAAGTGTTACTTTATGTGCGGCCCGGCAAAAAAATTTAAGATTTAAATTGGCCCGTTGATTAAAAAGGTGGCTCACCCCTAGACTAAACAGTATTTTGTTCGGGAAATCGTCTTTTCGGCCGTCAAATCGTAATCATAACTTCCAAGTTTTTCAACCGATTGCAATTTTCCAACATGCAGTTTTATAGAAAACCGTACGTTTTTGAACAATTTTCAACATTTCCAAATCGGTCCGATAGTAACATAAACAGAGTTATGCAGAAAACTTCTACATACAAATAGCTGATTTCCCGAATAACATTGATAACATTCGTCTCGAAAAATCGTCATCTCGACCTTCAAACTCTTATGACTTTCAAGTTTCTCAACCGATTTCAATTTTGCAAAATACGATTTTCAGACAAAATAATTTGCCATCAATTTTAATGTAGAACAAATATGGTTTTAAAGCTTAAGTTTATAAAGAGCGATTCTTCTAAATATGTGAAATAGGAGCATACAAAATCTCAACATTTAAATTTGATCAATTAAAAAAATGTTTCTTTCCAGATATTGATTAGTTGAAATTTTGCAAACTCTATTCTTTTACAACTACATGTTACGTTTTTTTATTACTTACCTTATTAGAGCAATTGATCAGCCTGCAGCGCCCACCAAGGATTTCTCCACATCAGAATTTAAAAAATAAAACCTCTTCCTATTCATAATTTTTTTAATTTTAAATTAGAAACAAAACGTATAGAAACCAAATGTATATCGTATATATTCTAAATGGGAAAAATTAAATATAAAAAAATAAAAGTAACGTCACAAAGGAATTCTAAGACGCCCGTCTTTTAATTGAAATTTTTCCTCTTGCCAAGCTAGCCAAGAAGAAACGAAGTTTTTCCCCATTTTGCTTCTTCACGAAAATACAATCGTTACCAACGGCCGAAATAGTAGCTGCGGTTTTAGGTTGGTCCTTTCCTGAAATGTCCACAATTGAAACGATCTCTAAGAGTGCAGATAAATCGCAAAATTACCTTCAACAAAAATTGATTGACCTCTATGAAACCAACGTTTTTCATACAGCAGCTTGCCATCTTCAATTCGTGTTTCTATCAAGCTTTGTTGCTGCAATAAAAATCAATTGAATGCATCGGCAACTTATAGAGAGCAGGAAGTAATTCTCCTGGCAGTTTTTATCAGAATAATAACATAAATAATATTATTTACTTTTGTATGTTCTAACCTCACTGACACTTTGCAGACTTCCCACGCTACTGGAATTATGATTGGGGCTGCCTAGGGATGATGAGCTTTCGCTCAATTTCCTAACGGGCAGAACAGCTTTTTCTTTAATCATTCTCAAATCGTTGTCAGCCTAATAAAGAAACTAGCTTTAATACAGCTCTAAATCTCAAGGGGCACTCACTTCTTTATCATCCAGCAAGTAGGTTATTTGGGCTGTTGGGGCTTTTCGCCTTTTTTCGGGCATGGGAATTGGCTCATTTGGGCGCCTTCTCAGTTTCCTAGTCATGGCAGGTTTTACCTAAAGATCAAGATCAATATATAATCAATTCGTTGTTCAATTCACACTCTTACCTCCATGGAGTCTCCAGTCAGCTCCATAGAAGATCTTTCCGTTTCTATGTTACGTTTCTTATCTTCCAAGTCAGAGATCAATGTTTCCCTCAAATCGATTTTCTTTTCCTCGAAGTCCTTGGCTGCCGCTTTGATCTCTTGAGCATAATCCCTCTTTATGTACTCATACATATAATCTCTGCATTCCAATACGGTTTCAGTATAATATTTTTGAAAGTTAGTTAGTCAATGTCACCTACTTATAGATATCATTCAACTTCAATCTTTCGTTATACTGTGATTCCAATCTCTTGACTTTTTTGTTGTAATCGCCGTGCGAGCCATCTTTTAGCTGGGTCAATTTTTTCTTAAGAGTCGCTAGTTTGTCCTGGTACATTTGCTCTTTGATTTCCAATTGTTCCTCTTGACGTCCTGAAATTCATGATTTAGACGGTTCAACTAGCTAGAATTTATTAATTTGGGTTGTTAAACTGTACCTGTATCTGTTTCACTGGCATCTTCAGTGTCTTCATCACTGCCATCCATACGATCGTGTTCTTTCTCCTCATCCTCATCTAGTTTGTCTTCTTCAAAGTCATACTCGTGATTATTGTACGAGTTTGATAAGGGGGATCCGAAAAACGACATGATTTTTCGTTCTGAAGACGGTGGATTCTACCAAAATTCAACAAACAAGGATGTTATGGGCATGACAATCGCAGCTGGGCCGCAGCTTGTTTCATTTCTTCGGTATGTACGAAGCTTGATTTTTAGTAGGCTAGTTTGGAAATATTGATCATTCATTTGGTATTAATTCGGGAAATTTTATTTACCTTTTTAATGTTTTCAATGGCTTGGTTTGCGTCTAGATTACATTGACTTTGATGACTGAATATAGGTTATGTACATTTATTTCTTCACTTCAAACTCATTTTCTGCTCTAATTTAACCAAATTTATCTCAATGACAATGAGAGTTATCAATGTAATTTGTTTACGTAATTATATTTTATTTATTAGCAGGAAATTAAAGTTATAATAATTATCTTCATGTGATTTTGAAAGGTTTGGACTTCGCACTTTGGCAAAAGTAATGAATGGCAATTGTCGAAGTTCTTTTTGTTGTAATTTAATTTTTTAGTGGCAATTTTAAAAACAAATAACGGGTGATTTGCAACTAATAAAGTGCACAATTTCTGGTTTTTCCGCTATAATTTATTATGGCACTTCAATCTGTAGTTCCTGTTATAATTTGCTGGTGATCACTGAAGGTAACTCTGGTAAATATGGACGTTTACATTTGTATTTAATAAATTATATGTATTATGTTGAACTAATTATAAGGTAGTGAACAGTCTGGGCCATTGCTTTAAGTTGCATGTGATACTGATTTATTGCGTAATTTATACGAAGTTAATTTTTGACACACTAGCTAAAATCAAAACCAAATTTTGTTATTAACATTAAAATTCTGTAGGTGATTTAAAATAACGTTTATTTATCAACGAGAGATTTTGAAGCATGATTATTTTATGTTTGCAGTGGCGATTTAATTTAATTCCTAGTTAAGTTGATACTGAAAGTAGAATCTATTTATACAGAAGGTTTTGTTGTGTATGAACTGATTTAACAGTTAAACTCTCTATTTGTCTTCGTTTTAATACTAATACTTTGTTTAATGTTGGACTATTTGGAGACTTACATTTTATTCATGTTCTCGTAATTCTGCCAATAATAATGGATACTAATCTACAGGGTGATTCAAACCTAAAAACTCCAAGTTGACCAAAGCGCTGATTTCATTTTTTCATGTCGTTATTTTCGGTCATTGCTTGCGAAAACTGCTGAGTTATTCTGGGTTTTAGGATGTCATGAGAAATAATTTTTCCTGTCGTTTTGTAAGCACGAGTGCCTTGCATCTTTAGAGGTACTTTGCTCAGCGCAGCAACTGGTCAGGAAAAAATATCCGGTTTCATTTAATAGCTAATTTTGTTAATTTGTGTAAAATGTATTTACGCAATATATTAATGAAATAGCTTTTACACTTTAGAGCCAGCACATCATTTGACGAGTCTCATCAATCCGGATCTACATTTCATATTTACATTGATTGATTAACACAAGTGGTACTTTATCTGTATTATCAAGCGAGTGAAAGAACTACTTAAACACATTTCGTCTTAATTTATTTTACCTGGCCCGTATTCGAGTATTTGCAAACAGAGTTTGAGTGAAACCTCTCAATGAGCTCGACTAAATGAATTCTTGATAACGTTTTTCAGCAATAAAAGTAGTTTGCGATAAAATGTAAACTTTATTTCAGATTAAGAGCTTTAAACGCTCTATTTCCTTTTGTGGCAACTGGAAGCGGATCATTTACTGACTAACAATACAATCAATGTTGTCTTATCTTAAACAGTGGATTTTAACATACATTATTCTAGTCAGTGGGGCGTACCTACTTTATATAGTAGCTAATCCGTGTACTGCTCGAATTCAGTTAAAAAATCTATCCACATCAATACCTCATCGTATTCATATTAATTAATTTTCTGGTTACGGAACTCCTATTGTGAATAAGTTCTACAAGGTGAAACCAGATATGTGAAATGAGATTTCTCACATGAACAAAAAGTACTACCTAATTACTTTAGCCTTGAAGAAACGTTAATCGAGTTTTATGGTATTACTCAAAAAGTGTGCAACGGTGTTTGACAAAGTCTCGTGAATTCTTATTATAAATCTCTGCAGAGTTCTTAGTCGGAACTTAAATATTAGTTAGCTTTGTATGCGTGACTTTATATATTTATACATATAACCGTCATATTTTTTTTCAGTTAAAGCTACTTCTTAGCCGAGCAATTGACTGGACTGAGAGCAAGATTAGATAAGTAGCACTCGAAATTGTATAAATCTAGGATCAATCACAATTGGGATACCTGCTTATTGGAATCTGATATAAAGATTTAGTGAGAGAATACGCAGAATTTAGCATGGATGCTAAGAATGCAAACTCCGCTTTGCATCCAATACTCAAAAAGTAAGTGATTAAAATAACACCAATTTCTGTAATAGTCTTTCAATAATAGAATACATATTTGATACCGTTTAATTACGCACTACAATGGGAATTATAAGCGGGCAATGACTTTTGGGTCATTAATCTTCATCTTAATTAGCATTTCTAATCTCTTGATACACATATGTTTCTACCGCATTTGCCATAAAAAACTTGATGTCATGTCTTATTGACTTGATATCAATCAATTTTTAATAAAGCAAGTCGCTAATTAAAAGCAGCTGGAAATTTTTATCTTTTAGTAGCCAAATGGAATGTTTCTTTCCATACTAAACACAAGACGAACCACAATATTTTCATTCCTACGAGCCTTGTGGTTGTTTTTGCGGCTGCATTAAATTCTGAATTCCCAGTGAACTTGAACTTATCGGAAATGTTTACCACAAAAGTGTTGTAAATCGTATATCAAATATTTATTCGTTTGCTGTTTACGAACGTTTACTTAGCATGAACGGCGAGTCCAGACCTTTAATGTTAACAAAAACCTTTTACTATAAAACCTCGAATTTGTAAGTATTTAAATGAGAATTATGCATAAAAATTATGTACAAATATCCTTCGCAAGCAGGCGAAACTTTCCACAATTATTATTCCCAATGCTATGAATGTCAAGTAATGAGAAAAATTGTAAATAAAGTTGAGTTATTAAATTGAATACTTTCAGCTATTCCAATGGTGGTAGTTACAATAGTCCCGAGTTGCACGTTGAAAGGCCCATTTATCAAATACAAGATCTTCATAAAGATACGCTCTACGAAAAACCATATTCCACAGGTACCTAAGTAGTGTATTTAATAACGATTTTATTAATTTAATTTAATTTTTTTAAGTAAAAACAAAAGCAGCCAGTTACTGCAACTCAATTCACCCAGCTCAGTGCCTTTTAGATCGAATACCATTGTTAAGATGGTTACCCGAGTACAGTTGGAAGAAAAGCTTTCTATCGGACATTATTAGCGGTATCACAGTAGCAATTATGCATATCCCTCAGGTGAGCACAACTACAAAATAGAATAACTTTGGCTATTTTGCGTAAACCTTTAGGGCATGGCTTATGGGCTGTTAGGCGGTGTTCCACCAATCAGTGGAATTTACATGGCTTTTTTTCCAGTTCTGGTTTATTTTCTTTTTGGAACTTCAAGGCATGTCTCTATGGGTAGGTTTGAACTCGAATACTTTCCTTGTAGTTAAACTAAAAAACACTATTTGGTGATTTTTGGATAAAGCATATCCTGAGTTTCTATCACTATTTAATAATAATTTTTTAAATTTGATCACGGTTTTATTTGCCAGGTACGTTTGCCATTGTTTGTCTCATGACGGGAAAAGTTGTTAGCGAGCATGCAAATGTGGAAATAATGCCAAATGGAACCGAAAAACTTATGGATTCGTACACGGAGGGATCTCTGAAACTCACCAATGTGGAAGTGGCCGTAACAGTCACTTTCGGAGTAGCTGCTTTACAGGTACTAATTAAAATAGCGCATAATTAAGGATTTTGAGCGTTGACTAAATTTAGAACGGCACTTTCTAAACAAGCTAAATGTACTTTCAGTTAGTGATGTTTGCATTACGACTAGGTGCAGTTTCCAGCCTGCTCTCCAACAATTTGGTGAGTGGATTTACATGCGCGTCCGCCTTTCATGTAGCATCTTCACAGTTGAAAGATCTTTTAGGCCTTGCCATTGGCAAAAGACGAGGCAATTTTTCGTTCATTTATGTAAGTTATCAACAACTCCTCGATTAAAAGGATGTAAAGTAATTTTCTTCCAGACCCTATACGATGTGGGATTGGCTCTACCAAAAGCAAACTCAACTGCTGTAATGGTGTCTTTAATTAGTTGCGTTATCCTGATGTTAAACAACGAGCTATTCAAGGTAAGTACATACTTAAGGATGAGTATGCTCAAACTCAACTGCAAGCTTTCAGCCATGGCTGGGTAAACGATTTAAAATGCCGTTTCCGATCGAGCTTGTGGCAGTTGCATTGGGCACAGGGATAACATATTTTTCTGGAATCGACAGAACGCATAATGTTACAACTGTTGGCTACATCCCGACTGGGTAATAACTAATTACATCAAGATTTATACGATTTTACTCAAACTACTAATTATTTAGATTGCCTGAGCCTGTGATTCCAATATTCAATTTGCTCCCGGAAATATGGGTAGATGTGGTTGTAATTACAATGGTATCCTATACAATTACAATGTCGATGGCTTTGATTTTTGCCAGGAAACTCTTGTATGAGGTGGATTCCAATCAGGAACTTTTGGCTTTGGTAAATAATAAAACCCTGATTATTCCTGCTCATACTGACGGAGTGTTTATAGGGCTTAAGTAACTCAGTGGGTTCCTTCTTTTCTTGCCTGCCTGTAACAGCTTCATTATCCCGTTCGATGATCCAGCAAAGTGTTGGCGGCGTTACTCAATTAGCCAGCGTGATCAGCAGCATTCTACTGCTTATCGTGCTTTTATGGGTGGGCCCAGTTTTCCAGACCTTGCCCCGATGTGTCTTGGCCAGTATAATCGTCATTGCCTTAAAAGTTAGTATAAAACCGCCTAATAAATTGCCTTTTAAACTTTGTTTTCAACAGGGAATGTTACTGCAAATTAAAGATCTACCTCGTCATTGGCATTTAAGCCGATGGGATGGACTGGTCTGGGGAATAACATTTTTCGTAACGTTGTTTGTACAAATTAGCATCGGATTAGCCGCGGGTGTAGCTGCTTCTTTAGTCAGCGTTGCCGCTCAAGGATTAACTCCACGGGCCTCAATTTTAGGACGTTTGGCTGGTACTGACCTGTATTTGGATTTGAAAAGACACAAAGCGGTAAATATGACGATTTTTTCTTCTTGCTCCTCGGCAATTATACAAGTTTCAAATCGTTGCAGGCCGAAGAAGTTCCCGGTCTAAAAATCATCCACTTTGTTGGAGGATTAAGCTTTGCTTCGAGAGATTCGTTTAAAGAGCTGTTCGTGCAAAAGGTTGGATTCGATCCTACAGCTATTTTGAGGAAGATAGTGAAACTGCGAGAGAGGGTAGGTTTTGCGAATATTTGTGGACCATTCATTACTGATTTTACACTCAATTTCATTGCTTCAGGGGATTCAAATGGACGCAGAAGAGCAGATGATAACGAAAGGAATAATTATCGACTTTTGTTCATTAACATTTCTGGATCCTTCTGGCGTGAGTTTTCTTAGGCAGTTGCAATCGGAGCTGGACAGTTTGAATATAACTTTGTACATAACTGGATGTTCAGGTAAATATAACTGTACTATTTACGAATCTCTTCAAAGGTTGATTTTCTAGAATTAATTCACACAGTTTATTAGTCGTGTATATAATGTAAAAACACATTTTTCTCTCACTACTGCGACTGATTTCCAACGTCTGGCATTTTTAGGTCGAGTATATGAAGTGATAACTAACTGTGATAGATGGGAGAAGAAAGATAGCAATTTTCTTATTTTTCCCACAGTTCATGACGCTGTGCTTTATAATCAATCAAACGGCTTAATAAAAGATATTGTAGCATTTGGTGAAAAAAATAAATAAGAATTAAGCTTTATTAAAGCTTAAAGCAAATTGATGAAAAGAAACCGTCATCAACTCAGTCAACCGAATTTACTGTAAAGTAGGAAATTTTTCTCATTATTCAAGATATCGTACGTCATTAAGCCAGTTACTTAATTTGTATATTAATAATTGTACGTACTTTCCTGACTGTGTTTCAATTCCAAATTAAAATCAAATCCTGGGTTCTTCAGTCATTTATTGTTCATTTATCAATTAAAAAAACGTTTCGGTGTTTTCCACCATCATCAGTTTCACTAAAATAACAGGTATTAAAAAAATATATATAAATGTTTTCATTAATCTAAAAAACAATCACAGYTAATACTGTMARCWGYTKACAGTATTARCTGTGATTGTTTTTTAGATTAATGAAAACATTTATATATATTTTTTTAATACCTGTTATTTTAGTGAAACTGATGATGGTGGAAAACACCGAAACGTTTTTTTAATTGATAAATGAACAATAAATGACTGAAGAACCCAGGATTTGATTTTAATTTATATTAATAATATGCAAAATGCCCGATATTTTGTCCATTGGTAATGAAATTTCTCGAACTGTTTTATGGGAGCTGTGACTTAAAGCGACAATAAATAAATGTTACTTAACGGCGTTATTTTTACCAGGTTTTTTCCTTACCGCGTATCAACTAATAAACTCATAAGATTCTTAAAAATCAGATGGAAAAGCAATTTAATTGAAACACTGTGTACAACATGCAAAAATATAATAAAGGTACAAAAATGTTTCGTATTTTCCGAAAAAATACCTATTTTAAATATGTTGAATATTCAAATTACATCAAAGGTGACATATCAGAACTGGGTTTTGCTGTTGAACTAATTAATATTCACATTAAACAAGGGTTGTCCTTGCAATAAACTTACGCTAAATCGTACCCCAATAAATCCTCCAACCCGTAACCAAAAAGCTTGAAATCCGGAAGGTACTTTTTGTATAAATGTTCGATATTGAATATCGATAGTTGTTGAAAGTATTCCCGAAGCCGATCCCGAGTATGACCGGCTCTGGTAACTGGAAAAATCAAATGCGGCGCTTCTACCATATCTAAAATGGTTTTGGCGTCTTGCGAAAGGGTTTCATAGTGTCCTGAAAAGAACAATCAGTGATTTAGGTAGTGCGATTATTTTATACATAGAAAATGATCTTACCAATAAAAGAATAGTTCAAAGTACATGGCAAGCATAAGTCGTAGATGGGTGCCCAGTGTTCGTTGGTGTTGACACCTTCATTCAGCAAAAACTTTACGAATTCTGGAAAGGATACATTTGCACCGGAGTCCAATTCGTCAACTGTAGCAGTTGGGCGATACTTTTTGATAATGTGTTTGCCATATCGGGTCTGAAATAGCAAACTACTAAAATAGTGTTCCAACATCGGTGTTCTATCAATAATCACCTGAAAGTATTTGGAACTAGTGATGTTTTCAGTAAACTTATTCCGATAGGCAGAAAGCAGCCTTTCAAACGGGTGCCTGGCAATTAGAAATAGAGTGTAATTGTTTAAAATCCATTTTATGTCGGCAAGAGGAAGATCAGACAATCTAAAATAAATGCCCCCGTTAAATAGGTACCTTTAAACCCACATTTTTGTTCAGTTTACCTAATTGTTGAGCTATTCGAATGTGCGATAGTTGCAGGAATATTGACTAGATTAGTGGCATTAGATTCGCCAGTTAGAACCATCATTACTCGTTTCCAGTTAGTGCAAGCCACTTTAGGTACGTAGCAGTAGAGTAGCTTGTGTCTGTGGTCGACCAAAATGTGGTTCAACTGGGAAACATCCAGAATACGTCGCCCGCTTAATCCTAAATTATCACATCCCAGAGTTAGTTCTTCTTGGCGACTGATTTGCTCTAGCCAAGGGAACTTTGCTGTGCAACGAGCTGAAATTCGACATTTCAATGTACCGTTCTTTACGGTGTTTGCTCGGGTTAAACTTACGCGTTAATGATAAACTGCTAAATAACATCAGAACGAAAAAGCACCTTTTTCCTAACTCTAATTCCCACATAACTGTCCCTTAACATGTCTCGAGATGCTCTGTTGGGCCTCTGTCTTTTGATAATCTCTTTACAAATCTCAATTCTGACCTATGAACCAAAATAAATTGAGTACAGTGGATAAGCGGTGATTAGTCATTAGTACCTATTTACAACTTCGTAATTGTTGACCTTCTCTTTGTCATTCTTGAGCACTCGCCCATTAGAGACGTTCTGCAACCAGAACGTTTTCCACACGTATTTCCAACTCACTTTGGTTTTGCTTTTTTGCCGTTGCTGTTTTAATAGAAAATGCCGCTTGATGGCTTTTTTCAAATCGAGCACCGTGGTATTCTGTTGCGGTATCTGCCATAAATATTTAATCAGTTCGATTCGTCAGATGTAGCAAGTGAAGTAACATCCACATGTTTTATGCAAATCCTTCTTGATAAAAATGAAACGTAATGATGCGTTTTACGCAATTTTTTTGGCGTTATGTGAATCACAATAAGCTTCTAAGTTCAGCACTTGGCAAAAACATAAACAGATCGATAAAGAACATAAAAATATATCACACGTGTCCATTTATCTTTACTGCGCCGTCTGGGACATCCTGTTATGGACTTAAATTTACTGTAAAAGACGACTATTCAGATATTATTTGCGTTAACAATTATTTTGCATCAAATTTAGAACTAGGTACAATATGTATGAACTTTTTTCAGAAATTTTCAGGCAATAATAAAATAAACTGGCATCGTGATAGTGCTTTCTAGTAATTGGTCTAGAATTTACGGTTTATGTCTTTACAATTAGTTTACCTTTTTTTAGTCAACATTTCTGCTTTATGATCATTGTTCATGCTTTAAGTTCCGATGGTTTTTTTTCAAATACTTACTAGGCAGTTTATAGCTCCAATACCACACGATTTTTATATTGTTTATTCTGGCCTTCGGCCATACATCATTTAGACGGTCAGGTAAATAATGAAAACTCGGCCGACTTTCAAGTAAATATATATATATATAAAGCGGGAAATTACTATAATCTGAATGGCATAAACAGATCAATTGCGTAAGGAAGTTTTTATGGCACTCACAGACATTAAGTTTAATAGAGTTGTGTAATTTAAGATTAAGTCGGTATTGATGTATAAAGCAGGATTTATGAAAGCAAATTATATATTTTAGCATTTGCGGGCAATATTCAATAGAGTGAAAATTGACTAATTTATTTTACATTTTTCTATTCGCTGGAATTGGAATTAGATACTTACCACTACGCTTAATGGACTTTCCGAATATCGGAGAATTGTTACAGTTATACTCTGTCCTTGTATCACCGCGATTTGAGACAACACCTAAAATATACAATCATTTATTAGACAAATGTTCAGTTGCAAGCGTTGGTCTGCAAATGATAATGTTATGGAAGTTGTTTGAAATTTCTACCGCTTTTATTTTTAGCTCAATTACACTGCTTAACAACAACTTTAATTTTTTTGCATTTTTCGTGAAAACACGGAATATTTCTAAATTGAAGTTTCATATAAAAAAAACTACTGATTGTGAGATGTTCTACGTTTTCCAGCGGCCTACAAGCACCTATTATTAGCTGCCAGTACTTAACAATACGATTTTATTATTTTATATATTAGAATAACTCGTTTATGTAAGTCTTGAATATTTTCTATGCTTACATTAAACCGAAATCAGCAGAAGCAATAGATCGTCAATATAAATAGAACAGCGAAACCGGCCGGTTTATTAATTTCGTAATCGAACAAAGCGTTGTTAGGAAAAAGCGATTAAGTACACATGAACCCATCAGTTAACCACATGTTAAAGTTCAAAGTCGTGACAAAAAATATAATAAAAGGCGTACCTCTTCGGGTGTAACATCAACAGGTAGATCCGAAAGTAGGGGATCAGAAGCAATCAGTCTTTTGATGCTACTCTGAGTGACTTCCAGCAGATCTTCGTGAGAAAGGTTTTCGATCTCCTCTTCGATAGTAGTGGTTTCCGCGTTAGCTGCGGCGGATTCGGTCATTCTGAAAAAAATTCCGATCATCTGCTTGATAAACATCTGAACACTTTCACCTCGAGAATTTTTAGCTAAGATTCAAGCGTTTTACCAGGAAAAATCTTTAGGCGATTATTGTTTTAGTACTAATTGCTTATTATTGATGTAGTTTTCAGGAAACAAAATGGATTAAAAAATTAACGCGCAATACTTATGGAAGGCACTCGAACAGGTCAATTAGTAATGGAAATTGGTACAAATTTCTGTGCTAATCTCAGGTAGTAATGGAATACCAACCGATACAGCTGATGGAAGAACGGCGCCCGATTCGAAAAAAGGGATTATTTTTGTCACAAATTGAGCGATGATTTTTAATTTGAAATATCTCAGTCGAATGCCAGTTTTTTCTTTACGAAAATTGAGATCATTAGCCGTATGCGCGCCAATAACGTATTTGACACAATTTGATTGAATTGCACATTTCTTTTCCCAGTATTTAAGAAAAACTTTAACACCCCGTATCTGGGAAAACAAATAATTTGCGGACACACGAATCATGAGCAAACTGCCATTAAGTTTTCATGCAGAATCACCCCCTGAAATATGTTGCACTTATTCCTAACGCCCTGAATATTACGCCATATTTGGAATTTTATTTTAAATATTTCTTGTCGAAAGCATTCGCGTGTTTCTTTTTAGGGTGCAATATAATTCGTTTTATTTCCTTGAGTATTCTGTTCTTTGAATCATCAACGTTTTTTGGTATATTCACACAAACTTGGAGCAAAATCGTTTAAGAAAATCACCGAGATTCGTGGAAAATCGAACAATCATTAGTGTAAAAGGTACTTCTAAGAACAATAATTAATGTTGTTAGTTATAAGCAAGCACTGGTAATAAAACAGATGGTGCGTCTGAGCAAAGAATTTCAGAATTATCCAACTTTTGATAATTTGAAAACAAATATTTAAGGATTTGAATTTTACAACAGGCTTTGTATTTGGTTTGTTTAATTATTATCTCAAGCGTGGCAATTTTACATTTTCGCAACTTATTCATCCTGTTATTTATTTACATCCAACAGACATGTATAGCCTTTCAATAGCTATTCCGGAAATAATATAAGACTCACCATATTCGGTTCACTATTCGTACAACTACCAATACACTAGACTATTTAACGCTAACAAGCCGCAGGGTCAAAAGCTAGAATAGTTTAGATTCGCTCCGTTTAAGTTCAGACTGATTGACATTTCTTCAAACATATAATTATTGTAAGAAAACAAATTTGTTCAGGCATATTTAGGAACGAGTTATGAAATATCTAAACCTGATAACAGCGAATGAATTACGGACATGATAAACCGGACTAGATGGTACCCTAATTGATAGGTACTTGGTACTTGGAAAGTATGCTCTGTACTGTCGCAAAAACGTTTAATTTAACTAGGAATTAGCTTGTACACTTTTTGACTATTGCAAGTGATGCCTCAATGAAGGCAATTTATTAACTGATGAAGCACATTGCTTTTTACAGCGCCATTCAGCCAATACAGTTGAAGATCTCGATGTAGCGCAAAAATGACAATAATTGTTTGGTCTGCTTCAAATGATAATTAGTGCTAAATTATGAAGTGGCATTTAATTACATCACAACTAGTTTCCGTGTGGACATTTTATGCATAAAACCGGATAATGACGGGTTAATTTTCAAGGAAACAACACTATTGCGTACAGGCTGTTTTTATGGCCTGAGTCTGCTTTATTGTTAATTGTTTAATTTATTTTTTATTAGATATGTTGATAATTTTACCAGTGCGATTTGTTGGACACTTATGTTCCAAATATGTGCAGTCTATCGAATACTTACCTAACTTATACCTCTTGTTTAACCAACTTTTAGAATTAAGTGATTAGAGCATATTTACATATAAACAATAACAATCAATAAGTTTGGTTAATAACGGTTAATAATCAACAAATGACAACTAGTGATTTCTCTTCTTTTCTTGTACCAATAGCACCAACCACCACACATAAATTAAATCAATTTGCTGTATACATTTCAGGGCCTGCTTACTCTCAACATTCCTGAGTTCCGTGTTTTGCGTGCCCGCGCCTCCATGAGCGCTGGCATCGACAAATTTGGAGATTTAACAACGGTACGGTGTAGGTGCCGAACGCGTTTCCGTACGGTATTTTTGTACGATAGATCGTCATGGGACCTTGAAGGGCACCTACCAAATTACTTGGTGCTATTTAAAAAACTGATTTTTTTACATTTTTAATGATAAATTAATTTGAATATCATTTGAATTTGGCGGTTTAATCACCAGCCCGCGTCGCTGGTGGCGCGACTGAATGCGGTTCGCCGAAGTGGCATGATTGATCAATCTAAATAGTTTGATAATCTGTGATACAGTTGGAGTTTTATACGGCTGCGTGTTGGACTGCCTGAGTAATTTTATGCCCTTGATTTTCTTTGTTGGTGTTATTGTAATTTAGCGCAGTTGACAGTGATATGACAGTGATCCAGTTCACATTCAGAGGTGGTCTGTGTGGTGATCTACGATCTACGGAATACAGAAGGGTTTGGGTTGATGGCTATTTACTACAGTGCAGAATAAATGGTTAATAATGTGTTTTAATGGTTCTTTCGTTGAGCTCTTTTGAACAGTTCGTGAACATTCAGTAGCTGGAATCGTAACCACCTTGTGATATATAGACTGTGAGTTAATTGATAGAGATCCAGCTCCAACAAAAATGATCGTGGATCAAATAGAAGCCTTTAAAAGTTGGCTGACAGCTGTTCTGAAGCCCATGTAAGTGGACTCTCATAATTTACCGAAAACCAGCATTTACGCTAGTTTAGTAAATAGGACTGAGTTCGTAAATGCCCGTTCCTTTCTATAGCAGAACTTGCCACTGATTTTCACCTAGCCAACGTCACCTGCTTAGCTAAATACATATATGTAGAGCACGCTACATAACCCCCATTTTCTTTCACTTAAATATTTCAATTTGTAGGTGTGAGGCTGATCCAGCAGCGTTGGCGAAATATGTGCTAGCCCTTATTAAAAAGGACAAGTCAGAAGCAGAGCTTAGGAAGAGCATGGTTGGACAACTTGAAGTTTTCTTGGAAGGAGGTAAGACGCCTAAAAATAAGTCCCATGTCTATTTTTACCACTACTGATCTCCCACGGAAAAACATCATTTAGCAGCGAAAAACATTCTAATGTATTGCACAAGCAATTGAAATACATCATATTAGTTATAATCCTTGTCCTAACGAGGCTCCAGATGTGTTAGATGTAAACTGTTCGTATCCAAGTTTTTAATTAGACTGATATATGTATTGTCAACGGATTTAATTATGCAGTCTTTGGATTTAATCAAGCGCCGAACATTGAGTTCACTCTGTACAGTTTCACCAGAAATTAATTATACAAGCAGAAACATTGAGGCTGCTAAAATTCCCTATTTATAAAATCTCCAAACGGTGTATTTTGGTAAATTTAAAGTGTGTCTAAAGATTTGTATCCTCTTTTTCAACACAAAAGAGATTTCTTTTTAGTTTATTCCGATTAGAAAAATTATGTCAACGTTTATTTCTTATAGCTGCAAAAAGAGATTTTGGCTTTATGACTAATTTTAAAGAAAAAAGATTGTTTTCACTTTGATTTATACATGATGTCTAAGATAAGTGGGTAATAAACAAATGGGTTAAATTAGGAAAAAGTTGCGCAATCAGGGAGCCATATATTTCGGATTTTCTTTTATTTATTTTTGTTAACCGTTTGTTTTGTTTATGTAAAAAACAAACAACTTTCGCTTTTTCTTCGAATTTTAGAAGCATTAGTAATGAAAGCGTATATGGTTAAATTATTGAGCGATATTTATTCACTTCCTACTTGGGGATGCACTCGTTGCCTGCAAAACACCGTCAACGCAATGATTTACAACTTAGCTTGTCTATTCAGTCCTAATAATTTAAGTTAAACAAAGTGATAGATGAATAAAATATTACAAATAATCCATTGCTGACATCATATCTTTTACGTTCATTTTACTTTTACTAGAACTTGTACAATCACAGCCCAACTAAAGAGCAAAATAGTGAAATATAGTAGATTAGATTAAATCAAAAAATCAAATCAAAATATGCTTTATTGCCACGGAAAAATCACAAATTTTATGGACAAATATACGATTAGAATAAGCTTAGATTCATAGATTTATAACTTTTATTTTCTTTTTATTTACAGACTATAATCTAACAGACCACACACATGTAAAAGCAAGGGCGGGTCTTTCCACCATGTGGTCGACAGTATTTTTCGAAAGAAATCAAGATTATTATTACTTTTTTTAAAGAATTACATTATCATATCGTTCAAACCTTGCTCTTGTAACGCAAATTGCAATTAATGGCTATGCTTCAATCAGAACTGTTCGTTGTTCGAGGGCTGTTTATAGTTATTTGTTTATTTTGTATTTCAGAAACAGAAAATTTTGTGAACTTGGTGTTTCAAACATTGACTACTAAAGATTACATCGGCACCCCAGTGATACCAAATGCTAATCCGCCAAATCCCATCACCCCGACCAAACCAAAAGAGGTATGTATGTTTAACTCTCATTGTCTATTGTTTGTCTAGTTCTGGTTTAAATTGTTCAACCGATGGTTTTTCTATTGCTTTAAACCATCTCAATGAATTGTTACTAACCAATTCTCTTTGCTCGTTTTATTATGTTGTAATATGATGTTTAATTTCTCCTGCCTTCTTCCAGTCCTCTCTGGGTGAAAACAGGCTTCATAAGGGAATACTTTTGAATAAAATCTTTGTAAGTTATAAAACGTATAGCACTTTGTTGATATTTGGTACGTTGTGACACATGTGTGCGATTTTTCTTGTAGTTTTTCAAAGTGTTGGTGTTTTAGTTATTACTTTTATGTTGAAGTCACTGTCTTTACTGTTTTAGAAGTGTACTCCGTTTTTGTAAATACAGAAACCAATCAAGTTTCTTGTGAACTGATTGCCAGGAACTTTCTATTTTTCAGCGTTCTAAGCGTTTAACTTTCTATTTTTTAGCGTCTAGCCTATTAAAGTTGATACGCAAAAGTAAATACTTTCACTTGAATACAGTTTAGATTCATTTTCAAGTCCAACTGCAGTCGAAATTGCTACTTTCTTGTCTTAAACTAATGTGGACACTAACCAATTACCCTGCACTAGGATGAGGCCGTTAATCTAATAGTCTCATACTTATTATCGATTTTCATTGAAAAAGTGCATGTATTGGCCATAATTAGAGATTGATGCTTAGATATATTGTGAAAACTGTTTTGCTAATATCACTCTGAACTCTTAGTTGATAGGTAATGGCAGTTTTATCAACAAATATTGTTTTTATTGACCCTTAGGGGAGGGAAACCAAAGTGATAGTTCCGCCCAGTGAACTGCCCAACCTAAGTGAAGTGGTTAATGGCAACAGTACAGAAAAGAAAGAGGTGAAAAAGGACGTTAAGAGCAGAAGAAATTCTGAAAACGGGGTAAGTAACAAGGTAAGCACATGTTTGCGGAATTATTTAAAAATATGTTAATTTTTCTTGTATTTAGGAGAAAGAAGAAAGGTTAGCCCGAAGAAGGTCTAAACATAGGTCGCTGTCACGGAATCGCACCAAATCTCGCTCTAGATCTTGGGATCGAGTGAAGCGATCGCGTTCAAGGGATAAGTCTCGCGATCGAGTTGACAGAGAATTACATAGGCTGGACAGAGACAAGAGGGAAAGAGACCGAGTGAGACCCTGGAGAAATAAGTCCCCAAACCGCAGGTAAGTTTTTGTTTTTTTTTCCATTTTTTTAGTTCAATCTAATTGACCATGAATTTTGAATTCTCAGATACGAGAGAAGACGTTCACGATCGCCACGTAGTGGAAGTCCTCCAAGGATGCGCTCCAGATCACGAAGCCCCAGACATTCACATCGGGCTCGTTACCGCAATAGTCGCAGCCGCTCCAGATCTACCGAGAAAAAAGACAGGAAAGATCCAAAGGATGTGAAAAATCAATCCAGGTAAGGCTAAATTGTATTATTCGTTTTATAGTTTTATAATAACATTGTTTCTTCCATTATTAGACCCGGGACACCTATTCAAGATTCAAATCATACAGAAGCCGATTTACCATCACAAACTGTTCCCAGTGTCGTTGTCCAACCAAACGCATCTAAACGCCGTTGCAGGTAAAATATCTTCACATTTAGACTTTGATTTCAACATTAACCATAACAATTCTTCAGGGACTTTGACGAGAAAGGTTACTGTATGCGTGGAGAAATGTGTCCATTTGATCACGGTATCGACCCAGTCGTTTTGGAAGATTCTACCTTAACTAGAGTTCTGTCGTACAATCCGAATGGAGATGTGACTGGCACCTTAGCAGGAGGACCGCCCATAACTTCAGTGCCGATTCCTCCAGGAACGGTAGGCGGTCCACGACATCCTCCGGACAATCCGTATAATCCTCAAGCTCCTCAAATGTGGAGTGGAGGCCGATTTAGAGGTCCCCGACCAATGGGTGTTCGAGTAAGTTCAATTTCGCAAAACCTAATTTTAAGCATTTGCTGCTCATCTGGGTTGTCTGCTTGATAATTTACAGAGTGATTTACGTATACCGTGCATTACACACCAAAAATACTTGTCTCTTTAGCGTTGGGTAATATGGTCAATTAGGGGTTTTGTCGGCAAAGGACAGCAGAAAAACTTGCTCCGAGAATATGCGTTGGGGCGAAATACTGCGGTTATTTGAGTTGTAATTTAATTTACCGGGATTCTAGAAGCGTTTCATTTCGGTCGATATATCGATGTTTTATTCGTTGCCGAATCGTGAGCTCATTTCTTAATTCGGAACTTGAAAATGAGCTAAAAAGCTGATACTTTCAGGTCGACGCTAGTTATGGATTCTGTCCTGACACAGCTTTTGTTGTCGGTTCATTCCACACATTTTCCATGACCAAATTTCCAAAACTAACCCAAACTAACCCTTAGGCACGAGAACATGAAATTTAGGTGCTCGCGCTTGAAACGTAAAGTATGCTCTATATTAAAAGTGATGAAACGCCTCTCTCTAGAGAAAACGCTTTTATATTTTGTAACGTTCCGATAGCATATTAAATTGATGCAAATTTTAACTCTTTATATCCACACTTTAAATGCAACTTAACTAAGAGCCACAACGTGAGAGTTTCCATAAAGCCACGGTTATTTAGCGACTTTGTTGCTTCAATGCAAATTAGTAGAAAACGTTCCGATTTTCAGTCATCGTCAGGACATTTTGAAGATTTTTCGCAGTTGTTTTTTGGGATAGAAACTTATTCGGTCATATCGAGTTATGCTGAAATAGCGTTTTAGCACTTGTAGATTGTGTGTTTTCTTATTTGCAAACTCTGTCCTTTTTAATTTTACTTCAATTTTTGTATTTTTCAAACTGATAGCTCCAGTGTGTTGTAGTTGAACGTTTTTAAATTGGATTTTCTGCTGTAGTCGTTAAAAATAATTTTAATTGTTTTCAGCTTCCTGGCATAAATCCGTTTTCGCAGCCTCCTCCCGGATTGGGGATTCAACGCGAACTTATACCCGTTCCGCTAGTTATGGATAATATGAAACCACCAGGAGTGATGTCGGCCGGCGGTTTTGCGCCAGCACCGGGTGGGTTTGTACACCATCCCAATGCGGTTCCTCCTCAATCTTTTGGTCCAGGAGCAATTCCGATTCCTCGTCATGGATTAGAGGGTTCCATGCACGCTGGTAAATTTAAGAAGAAGGTGCGTACTCACCTTGATATAGATACATTTTTGCATTGCAATATCATTATGTAATCAACTAGGTTCATTCTACTGTTTATTCCTAATTCGATTCGTGTCTCAAGTCGAAATATACTCCTTACTTTATATTCACCATATATTGCCAGTTTGAAATATTTAATTGATTTTCCTCGACGCATAAGTTTAATAATTTTTTTGAACAGAAACTTTTGTGTGTAAATAATTTATTTTGTTTCAGTTTGACTTCAGCCGGCTTGGACCTAGAAAACACGCCGGAAATTGTAGCCTCGAGCTGAAGAAAGTTCCCACTGGGATGAATACCATCACTCATCTCAATAATCACTTTTCGAAATTCGGCAAAATTGTCAATATTCAAGTGAGCAACGCAAGCAACTCTTATTAAGCAAAATGCTCAAGTAACGGTAATTTTTGTGCAGGTGAACTACGAGGGTGATTGTGAAGCAGCTTTAATCACCTTTTCCAACCCGGCGGAAGCAAACAGCGCTTATAAGAGCACAGAGGCGGTGTTGAACAACCGATTTATCAAGATGTTTTGGCATGACTCTGATAGTGGCAAACAGGAAAACGTCCCTCCTGTGCAACAGCACGCTCGTCAAGACCCGCTCGTAAACGTTGCTCCTAATAGTAACAAGGTATATTTTAAAAATTGAGTTTTGTGTAGATTGGTTTTGTATGGTTGGGTTGCAGGTGTTGAATTTACTTCAGCCAAAGGCTGATAAAACCGAAGGGGAAAACAAGGAGGAAAAAGGCGAGCTTAAGCCTGAGTTAAGCAAAGAGGAAACCAAAGCTCAAGCCACTGCTGCAATTCACAAATATCAGGATTTCCTAGCAGTTCAAGCTAAGGTACGATTGCTAAGGTCAATGTGTTCAGGTCAATTTTGTTTAACGCTTTTATTGCAGATGAATAAAAACAAAGATGAACAGCGCAAGGAGGTGTTGCAAATACAAAGTAACTTGAGGAAACGAAAGCAGGAGCTTCTGGATAAGCAACTGTCCCAGCAGAAGATTCTCGTGGAAAAAATGTCCAAATGTAAGTCAATGCTCAATGAATTCGATAACATTTCTTTCTACAAACCTGGTTGTAGTACCTCCTGGTCCTCAACGGGATATGATTAAAAATACAATAATGAAAACACAAGAAGCCATAGAAGCCATTAAGAAGGACTTGGAACAGGCCGCATTGGCAGCGAAGGGTGCTGTTGCAGGATCTACAAAAAGCAAAGAGGAAACACAAAAGGTCTGTGTTTTTTCTTCTGTTTTTGTTGCTATCGATTTGTTGTCTCGAACTAGTTTTATGGATTTTCTTAATTATTGCAGGAGCTACTTGATATGGAATTAGACCTTATAGCGAAACAGCAAGAAGGCACCGATACAACCGAGTTACTGAAAAAAATGACTGAATTGAAGGCCAAAACTGCATTTACGGGTTTTCCAGCCAGAGGCCGTGGTAGGGGTGGTTATCCTGTCTCTAGTAGGCATCTAGTGGTCAAGCATAACTTTGTGGACAATACTTTCAGTAAGTATTTTATTCATATATATGCGGCATGCTACATAAAGTGTTTTGTGACGAAATTACTGGCAATTTAATGCTTATGTAATCAGTCAAATTTGCATGGTATTTTGCTTTACAATCAATTATTGATACTATTTACTCAAATCAGTCTTCCACAAATTATTTTTAGATAACTGTTTTCCAAAGAAGTCGAAACAATTAACTGACTGAGCATTAAGGGAGTTCTACTAATTCTTTACTCGCTAATTGTACGGTGCTTATTTGTATTTTTTTCGCAGAACCAACAGGCAAAATTAAAACGGTGAATAAGATAATCAATAATGCTGCATTAAAATCACCACCCGCTCTGCCCTCGCCGCAACTTACTACAACGACTTCATTTCAAAAGCACGTAGTTGATCACAGACCGACCAGACTGTTGGTATCAGGGTATGAAACTGATGAACAGGACGCGGTTGTAACTCATTTTCAGGTATGAACTTTCATCGTTTAAATGTTTCCACTAATTTCTTAAGGGTACGTGCACACCGGCTACCAAGCTGAAAGTGACCAAGCGATGCGAGCCAGTGTGCCTATAAAACACAATTTTTAGTGCTCTCAGGTGTGTGTGGGTTAAAGCTTGGCTTGGGAAGTTAAAGGTCGTATTTTTCATGGATTTCCTTTCATTACGCTCATGCTGTTTGGATTGGAGATACCGGTAATTAGAAGACTGAAAAAGTGAAAAAAAAACATATGGTCACTTGAGGTTAATCTCTTCGTAACTGAAAAAATCCTGAAAACTCCCAGAAATTTCCCATTAAAGCAAGTTTTTCCTTATTAAAAGGCGAAGATTTTTCTCTTTCGGGAGATATTCTGGGCAGGCTTGAGAAAGTTTTGGTTATTTCTTGACAATTTTTTTGAATCCGTCTTACCAACGGGCAATCGCTTTTCCTTAGTAACTGAAAACATCCTGGAACTCCCAGCAATTTCCAATTCATGTGAGTTTTTCCTCATTGAAAGCAGCCGATTTTCTCTTTCGAGTGATGCTGTTATGGGCTGCATTCAGGAATTTTTCGTTTTTCTTTGACGAAGTTTTGAAAAACTCGTGTTTACCAACGGTCAATCGACTCACCTTAGTAACTGAAAAAACTTCGCTGCGATCGCCGACAAAACACAAACATTTTTGTGTTCAATCGCATCGCCTCGCGTAGCTGGCAGTATCTAAAGAGTAATCTAATGCCGTATCATTTCAAAATTACACACCAGTTAGCCGGAATGTGGGGTATATTTCAATCTAAAAATATATTTCAGCAATTTGGCGAAGTAGTGGATTATTCTATTGATTCATCTTTACCGAGTATCACTCTGAACTACAAGACGAGAATTGAAGCTGAATCTGCTCTGTTAAAAGGCAAACACTTCCAGGTACTGCTAAATAAGCCTCTAAAATATAATTTGAAACTCAAATGGCTGCTTTTGTTTAATATAGGATCGCACCTTGTCAATCACCTGGCAGTCTGGACCGCCTAATCGTTTGCAGACTCAAAAGAGTGGAGGACCGGCTGCGAAAACGGTTTTGCTGTCGGAATCGGAAGAAGATCATCTGATTGATCAGAATATATTAGAAGGGGATGAAGAGGTATGTTTGTTGTTGGTTGATTTGTTCTTTCATTCAAACATTTCGAGCTAAGAAGGAATTGAAAACGATTCATTTGTTTCTAGGTAGGACCGGAGACGGAAGAAGCGCTTCTTCAAGATGATGAAGAGGAAGACGAGGAAGATCGCTCTTGGCGCAGATAAGTCTCCCATTTATGTTTCATATAAGATCTGTATTTCAAAACATCCTTTTCTGGTGAATATTTGTTATAAAATATGTACATATTGATTCAACCTTTTCTTATTAGAAATTGATTTATACGCGCTGCCATCTAGAACCCACTTTTCTCTAATCTGGTTTGTTTATATCTTAGCATGAAAATACTGGTGATTACAAAATAACTACCGGTTGTTTCACATGCTGACTTAAGTCATAAAAAGTTGACTGTAAGTTGACTAATTCTTCTCAGCCTATGTTAATCCACTCCTAACATTTGCTTATTTTGAAATACCTTAATTCCTTTGTACCTCTTTATTGGGTTAATTGACATATTGAGTTTTTAACTTTGAGGACACAATTATCGGACCAGACAGACTAATACTTTTTTTATTGCATTCATTGATTGCGGTGCAGAGATAAATCGAAACCAGATTGTAATCATGCAAAAAATAACTGTATTTAGACCCACTTGATTTGTTCCTGAATATGTTAATTGAAGGCTTCTTTCCGGTCTTTGTCCCTTGGTTAGTTAAGGGTAATTATTCTTGCACAATCTAACCCCGTTTATACCTTGTACAAAGCACGTTCCAATAATATGTTTAGAATGTGGCTTATTATAGTCGTTTGCTTTAGTTGGTATAAATATTCATCAAATTTTTCTCCTATGTATTTTTAAGTTGTTGTGTGAGCCAAAAATCTGCATTAGGGGCTATTTGCTCGAAATCAAGTATTATCAAATTGACCATTTATGGTTAACTGATCTGTTATTCGCAAATTGTTTTACACCTGTTTGATACTAATTGTATGCAAAATTCATTCTCAAATTAGCCTATTTGCTTAGGCTGTGGTAAAACAGGTGCAGATACCAAATCACAAGTATCAAAATTAATTGGCAAGTTAATATGGATTTTTGGTAGTAATGTTGTACAAAACCATACTGACCGCATTTTGAAAAAATATTAAAAAATACCTACATCGTACGGCCCCGGTAAAAAAAGAAAAAACATTCGGTCAAAACAACTATGAAAAAATAATAGGTAGAAAAACATATAGAAAAAAGATGTATATTTTAATAAAGGTACTGATTTTGGGGCGTAGAAAAAAAAACAAAACAAAAATAGTTATGAAAGAAATTCGAACTGTAGTTTGGCAGCTTAAATTGGACGCCTTGCGGTAAGTACTTATTTAATAATTGTTTTGAAATGCTTCTAGTATTTTACACAACTTGATGCCTAGTTTCTACCATTCCAATTCTCCTGGAATGTATTTGTCAATGAGGGCCTCGTAGTAGGGCCAAAGAGCTTCTACGTCGGGAATGTCAGCACTCTTCGTGTATAAATCATATCGACTAAAAAAAATATTATTGATAAGGATGAGTCATCAGCACAGTAAGGAATTTTAAAAATGACGAGATACTTGCACTTTCTGAATTTTCTCATCAATTTTTTATCAATCGATTCTATTGTGTTCTTAGGTGAGAGCTTGTATTCCAATAGTCCAATGAATAACTAAAGACTTCACTAGCGACATTGGATTTCTAATCAGCCTCTGGGTGGACCGAAGCAAATATAACAAGTAGAAAATCATGAAAGGTATGGATTTATTTAAACAATTTTGAATTTGGGCATATTTTATTGGTAAAATAAAGTATATTTCTTAGAAGGTTTGTTTTGGATCAAATTGTAATTTGTTTTTCAATTTTGTGGAAACAGGGTTGGGTTTATGCCGAATTATTTAACACAATGGAAAGTTGGAATAACAACCTCTTCAATCAGGCTATTATTATTAATGGTTTTGAATTTTTGATGATCAGTTAGCCGAGTTTTCCGTGTCATAAATAGCTGAATAATCGCAGTTGATACATTTTGCTTCATCAACTATTAAATAACTGGTCGTGTTTAGTTGGCTTGGTTATAGAATGCGTGTGAGAGTATGGAATTTTCAATTTTAAAAGAGTCTAACTAACTAAAGGAACTGTTTCTTAAGTTCGTTATTAGTTATTTTAAATAAGCTTGATAACTCACTTGAATGCTAGTACCCATTTTTTCACTTCTGTTTGGTCTTTTCCAGTTACCAAGTGTTCGTAGTCTCCGCCGGTGTGCCAAGGGTAGAAACTGTGGAATCTAAAGACAATTTGGTAAGAAAAGTCTCATTCATCTTTGCTAGATGCATTAAATCGATTAGCTTTTGCATTTTTGCCAACAATCTCTCTATGTAAATGAAGAATTCGTTTCTATTGCACTTTGATGTCAATTCGCTTTTTACAGCTAAAGGCAAATGCACTAATCAAATTATCAATTAATCTGAGGTTAAACGACTTTGAATAATCGCAGTTAAATAAACGACGGTTACACTTCTGGGTTTAACGTTTCTAACAAAATTGCTAAATTGTAGGGTCATGAAATTTAAAAGGTTTTGGACGTTTTATTAGTTACGAAACGAAATTATATTTTTTACACAATCTGTATCTATTTACATTCATATTCGCGTACCTGATCATTTTATGGGCATATTCTGGAAGCTTACTGTTATTGTGTTTCAACATTCGATATAAATATTCGTCGTGGCCCCATGACATCAAAAGATTGTCCAATCCACAGTTGGGTTCGTAAATTCCATATTTAGAACTGAAAAAATCAACATTATTTCTAAAGGTTTACAAGCAAATGCAGTTTAATTGACTTGAGAGTTATTGGAGTGCATCATGCTTAGCTTAAATGAACCCTGAAAGGAAATTTCTTCCCATAGGATTCTGATAGAGATGAAAACCTCATCCATTTCAGTTGCATAATTTGGCTGCAATCGGATCCTACAGGAGAGTAACATTAATATTAGGCATGCTTTTAGGCAGGCCAAAAGTTGACGTGGGAGATTCCGCGGGAAATTTCATGCTCATTAAATATTCAGGAGAAGATAAAAGTTTTGGAGAGCCGTAAAAAGTGCAAAAGCAAACATTCGATTAACACGATTAGACCTGTCGGTCCGCTTAATTTTTTCCCTGTGCTAGCGCCAGATTCGGTTGTTTCGTGGGTAAATAATAGCCAAAATTACACTGAGGAGTTGCTTGATTCAGTTTCCAAAGCAATCATAGTTTGTGGGCTGGGAACTTTCTGAAACTTTTCAAATATCGAATCGGGATAACGCGCGGTAAAGCGCTGCACTTATAATTACCTGTGATCTAATTCCCCAGCATAAATTATAAACGTGGCAAATCCGTCCCGTGACATAATCCTTTACGAGACCTAATTTCGTTATAAACCTGTGAAGTTGTACGAGTCAGAAACTTTGCCATTTTGTCGTTAAACACGAAAGTTGCGGAGAGGTTGAGGAGCGAAGATAAGACGTCCCCGCCCGCTCATCATAATTAATCTCTTCTGGATGTGTCAAACAAATTTTCTTTGGGCCTTTTATTCAGTACGCTCGCGAGGCAGCTCTGGGAATGTGAAATGTGACCCGAAATCTCTTATTCATGATTTACTATTCATGAGATTCTGTCTTTTAACATTTCTGCTTAGCGAAGTCGGGGGATTTAATATGTCGACGATATCAAATGAGGTAGATTTTACTTTGCCCTTACAGGAAATATGTTTCTACTTAGATACAGCGGCGTCTACTTTGTATGCTTATGGGAATTTCATGCTACTTTTTTGAAATATTTTCAATTTAATCTTTTTTAGAACCTTCATCAAAGTTTTCAACTACAAGATTACGAATTGTTAAAAATGCCCCTCAATTTCCATATTGGATAAATTCAGCCTTTTGGGAGCGCGGGAAGTCGAATTACTGAAGAAGAATAATCTAACGTTTTTTCTTGTACGACCCACAAAAAATCGTCACAGTCCTCTATTGAAGTTCTTCTCAATGTCTCCTTCTAGTATATTATTTTTCTAATTTACAACTTACTTGTACTTGGGATTTTGACCATCCACATTATTTTGAAACGAACAGTCCCTATACACAATGCTTGGAGCCCATTCCGCACCAACTACAAAAGTGTCTCCCACGACGCACCATTGAGGCTCATCGTAAAAAGCCATCACCTAAAATGTTTTTAAATTTAATTGCTTTTTTGAAAAAATTGACGATTTTTTGCTATTACTTTGCCAGCATCGTGAATCAGGCCAGTCAAATGGAACCAGTCGTCGTTTGGAAAGTCCTTCCGAATGCGTTCCGCAGTCTGGAATGCGTGGACAATGTTCGGAATGTCCACGTCTGGATCGCTTTCATCCACCAATTCGTTTAATTGGATCAGAGCGTCCTTCATCGTGGACTTGAAGGTATTGAAGCTGCACCATTTTTCATGCTTTCCTAAAAGACCCAAAAAGTATCAACTGTTGGGTGGTATTTATGTAAATAAAACACAAATCAAGGGAAATTCTGTAGGTTTTTTTGCACGAAAATGTTTGGAGTTTTTTAAATTTTTAATTCGGATTAAGAAGAAGTTAAAATTGGAATGGCATTGGCATGTGAATATTTGTTTTTCTATATACAGAAACTATATCTACTTAAGGTACAACCATGAAGACAATTTTTAAATATTAATTTTAAGCAAACATAACAGATTGTTTTTTATTAATCTACGAGGTTTTTCCAAAAATATGACTTCAAACCCAGAGTAAATTCGCCTTTATCTGGACTTCCTTAGACTATACAAAAGAGGTACATTATAATGGGGAATTATACCTATCTATCACAAGAAATCATATTTTATAGGTATTTAGAAAATTACTCTACATTTGACTATGAAGGCTTTCACGGCCGGTTAAATCACATTTAGGAATGTTTTCTGGGCTTTTTCCGAAGCCCGGAAAACGTTCCTAAATGTACTCTACATTTGTTCATTCTAAGTCTTTGATAGAACATGTATGTCGATTCTGTTTTATTATGTCGCAACTTCAGTTCTTTTGACAAATTTGCAGCTTAAATACGAAATATTTCTCGGAAAAAATTATAAAAAATCAGCTTTTGTTCATGGCAGATCGACGTAGTTACAAGTTTGAAGAAACTTTTCCAACTTTGATCAAATTTTTCATGTAACAATTTTCGATATTTTCAACAAACACAAAACCTTTACTATTGACCCCTTACATATAAATTTTATTTTAGAGAAAAACATTCTTTTTTCTTCGAAGGCGCTGGAAGTTTTGAAGAGCAAGTAAAACACGAAATATAAATAAAGTAAACTAACTAAAAACGTAAACCATAGCCAGTAAATTCGAAACATGTTTCACCATTTTTTTCGTCCATTTCAATGTGAAAGTATCGAAATAAGAAACTCAACAATTAATGTTTTGTAATTTGTTTTCCTCGTTTTCCTTTGCATTTAATGTACAATTTTATAAAAAATAAGCTAAGTTGAACACTAAGGAGATTTTGGGAGAAATCGAACTTATTTAAAATGAAAAACACAGTTGTAACAAAAAAAATCATCGATATTCACAGGATTCATTTAAAAAATCGCTGATCAAACAATCATCCACAAAATGATTAGCTTGTAACTTCCAATCACATTAAAGAAGTCGAATGAATGATTGATTTTCGGTACCTTTTACAAAATCGACTGTCTGTTTCGTGTGCATTTCCAAGTACGTTTGCCTCACTCTTTCCTGTATGGGATCATCAGGATTGATTGTATAATCCCTAAAAGCGTTCAAATCCTTGCTCGCAAATTTCTTCTCAGGTCTGAGCAGCTCAGAAGGGTCGATGATGTACACCGGTGAGACATTTCCCTGGAAAGTCACAGCAATTTTACATTGAAAAAGCCAACAGTCCAATTAATGGGCTTGCACTTACAAGAACCCTCATGTTGGTTCGCACCCTTATTATTTATGAGCAAAAAAAATACCACCCGAAGTTCTCGTATACCAAACTAGTACTGAAGCAGCATGTTTATTTATTTCGTTTGGCGCGGGTTAAATTTTATCGTTACGGGATTTCGAAAAACATATCTTAATTGACCCTTAAAGATCATTCAAACCTAAATGGTTCGTTGTGGCTTGAAAGCTTTGTTTTATTGTGAAACAACCTATGAGCTATTTTAAACCGTTTGCGTTAGTTGCCGCCAAAGACGTTGCTGCATATTATTGCGATTAATAATGTCGTTAACTGTGTCCTAATATTCAACAATTAAAGCGGAATAAGCAAATTTTGAAAAGGTTAAATAAATACAGTAATTTTAACTTGTTTTTAAACCATTTTTAGTCACAAGTACAAAATAACAAGATTAATCAGTTTGGTGCAAATCACTTGGTTGGCATACATTTTTATTATCTATTTATATTATATATTTTGCAATTTGAACAAGGTTATACATTAGCGAGAGATTTTTTGCCAAAAACTCCCATTTTTAGGACCTTTTTCCTCTGGACACTAGTAACTGTTTTTGTTTGTATTTGTTACTAAATTATTCTTATTAGTCTTATTTATTGGTTTTGTCCATTCGGAATAAAATTAGCTTAATCGCGATTGGTGCTGTTTTTTCCTAGAGGTTGCAATGACTACAAGATGAATTTTTGAGTTTGTTTCAAGTTTAGCGATTTAGAAAAATGAAGTTTTTGCTCAGAATTGAATCAAATTTGCTATGTATTGCTTAGTGCTTTGGTAACATCCCAAATATACTTCAAATGATTAATTTTTATAGGTATTTTGAGTAATTTAATTCGAGAAGGGCGTGTTTTTGTGCTGTTTGAATCAAATCCACATCAGTAAAATTGGAAAGCGCATTGATTGTGATCTTGCAAATGAATTACACGAAATCTTACGAAAACTCAAATGCAGAAAGAAACTGGAAACAATGAAAAAAAAATAGAAAAAATGGAGGAGTCATTCGTCTAATTAGTTAAAAAATACAGTATTAACAGGCAAAAACTATAAATCGATAAGCATATACTCCAAAAACTGTTAGTTAATAGATTGAATTATTTCAATTAGAAGGCTACATTACAGTCTAGAACTCTTAAAAGAAAAAAATATAAACAGATAAACGAAACACTCTTCCAAAACGACAAACAAACAAAATGGACTCGAAGAAAGTCAAATTCAACGAAGGGACAGAACACGACAGAAAACAACAGTGAAGAGCCAGATGGAAATGAATTGGAATAAATGCGAAAAAACACATACAATGTGACTTAATAATCACGCTAAAATAACAAATTTGAAGGAAGAAAGAGACGAAATAGTGTTTTTAGTACTGAGAAGGACGCAAACTAAAAACGAAAACTTGAAATCAATATTAGTAGTACAAAACAGCAAAGAAGATCAAAGGCTACCAAGATAAAAGTAGTCAACCAGAAGTGTCGAAAAAAACTCACGAAGAAGGAAATATACGACAGGTGACTATGAAGAAATGGACAGAAAACAAAGATAACCGAAGATAGTATCGAAACAGTTTATTGGAGTATATAAATCACAAATGGCCAAAGGTCTTTGTACTAGGTTTTGATTATGAAGAACAAGCAAAATTAACATCAGTGACAGAAAAATCGTCCTAATGATTTTGAATACAGAAAAGTAAAAATCAAAAAACCTCAACAATGACCAAAGCAAAGAAATATCTAGAAAACCTTGAGGTCATTCGTCCAATTAGTTAAACAAACTGCCGATATAAACGCAGCAAGCAAAGCAAAACTGATAATTTTTACATTGATCTAGAAGAGAGAAAACACAAGACAAGACAATATCCAAAAACAGATAATAAATAACGAACAAAACGAGCAAAAGCTTTCGCTGGGTTGAAGGTTGCGATTTTTTTTGCCACGAGGGTGCAAAAGCTAAAGCTTGCGTTCTTGAACCTGAAGTTGGGCGATTAAAAAATCAATTCCTGCTACCACTTTAGTTCAATTCCATGTCCAACTCAGTGCTTTAGTAACATTCATGGAAAAGTTCAATTGGATACTTCTACAGGTTTGGAAATTGCAATTTTTGCCCATGAGGTTGGAAAAGTTAAAAAAACCCTCTTTTAGACTAAATTTTGACGATTGAAAAAAATGATTTCCTGTTCGTAATTCAGTCGTCAAATTTACTTATCAAAAGATGCAAATTGTCTTCAATTGCTCTCAGCAATCTTTTTTATTTGGAACCCTTTTATCATTAAATTTGGCATCAAAAGCTCCTTTTCGTAGAGAACATTTCTACCTGAAGTCGCATATAGAGAGCGTTCATAAAGTTTGAATAGTGAATATTTCTCAATCATTTCTTAATAGCGTCACTAACGCCTTGCAATATCTTCAAACAACAGCTGAATTATTATTCAATTCCCATTAATAATTGACATTCTTAAAAGGTTATCGTATTGGCAACGCAAATAAATGATAATTTGCTATTCATTAGTTTAGTTCTGTTGATTCAAATATTGAAAATTGTTCAAAATTCTCAGCTAATCAACTCGCAAACTTGCCATTAATTGTTTTACAAGACAAGTTTCGATTTTAAAACTATGAATTATCAAAGTATATCTTTCTGGTTGATTGATCGGAAGCTGAAAACATTTTCGAAATATCTACTGCAATCTCCAGGAAGGACTTACCAATTACCCTGTAAATTCGGTGATAACGCAGGAATTTCAGGAAGGAAACGGTTGAACGATATTTCAGAAATGACCATGTTCTTGCGATTCATATCACAAGTAATCGGAAGTAATTTTGATAACAAGCCACAACTAGAATATAACGAAAGGGCGACAGAAGACCCGAAGCACGCTTCATAAGTCCAAAAGTATTTCCCTAGAACTAATCGCGAACATTAAAGTGAACAATCTTCAAAGAGTTAATCAGAGCATGTTCCACATAGTAGGCCCTTTTGCCGTGTATTGTTCCACTCGTCATCCCGAGACCCATTCCAGGTATGTTATTAGATTGCGTCTAATTGAAACTATTCCCGAAATTATGTGCTCTCGTTTTAGTTTCCCTTCGTCCCGATCAATATCCAGCTTTAAATATAATTAATTTTCCTAGTCGTATCTACTACCTGCCATAAGCTGGAACCGAATTAGCTACACTTCACGATAGCTGACGGGTCTGTTTAAATTGTAATCGCGGTCGCATACGTTGTTTACAGCTTTCCATATCGATTTGATTGTTCAATAGATCTAGAAGGTGGATTTGATCAAGTTAGAGGCCGGATTAATGGCTCAGCGGATCTTTATAGACGTGGCTTAAGCCCTAAGCAATCGAACATTTACCTTTACGTGCAATAGATCCCTAATGGAAACACAAAGGAGAAAACATGTTGAGAAGATTAAGTTGCTACACATAAATTATCCAGGTGAGCAAAATGACACACCAAGCAGGAGAAAATAAGAAGCGGACGAGGTTTAAAATGGGAAAGACTGGCCAAGTATTAAAGTGTTTGTGGAAAACACGACACTTTTCTGGGCATGTTCTATTAACGTTCTGGAAACTTTTGCTAAACGTCGAAATAAGCAGGCCAATTTAATTCAGTAACTTTGAATCTGTAATTGTTTTTTATTGTTTTGAGATTATTCGCCCTTTTTATAGCGAATTTATTCAGCGTTCATAAAAAGATTTATTTTATTTATTTTAACACTAAAGGCGTCAAGACACACTCATACTTCGAACCGGGTTTAAATTTGTTCGACTATCTTGTTTTAAGGGTGATTTAAAAAACTAACTTTCTAGTCTTGCAGTGAACTAACTACATTTTTCCCCTTGTTGCCTTTTTCAAAATGTAAAGCTCGTCTTTAAGCAAAAACTTCATTGTCGACGTAAGACAAAAATTTAATATACCGAGCTCAATAAATTCAATTAAAGTTTCAGTTTAATTGAAAGTTGCCAAAGATGGGGACAATTCGGATTTAGGTCACTTTCGAGGCAACCCTGCATCTTGAGTTTTTTCTCGAAAAAAAATTAAAAATGTTATCACTGCAAGACCGAAGGGTTGCTTTTTTGTGACCGCCATGTAACTAAAACATGTACGCGGAAAATTAAAGAAGCGTTATTATAAACAAAAAGAAAACGTTATTCGGTCAAATTTGCTTACAAAAACTTTTGCTTTGTTTAAAGCATTATTTAGTCCAATTCTTCCTCTTTCAGTTCACGTTTTTGCAAAAAAAATGTACTGAAAATAAAGTCTGTACAGGGTTGCGAATTCAACAATGTAAATTTTCTGAAAGTTTGGCATGCTCCCGACCGAACAAACAACCTTTTTTTGACTTAATCAACACAAGCATATAAACTGCTCAACAAAATATACATTACACGGTCAAATTTGCGCTAACTTCAGAACTGGATAACTTGTGATTGCTGAATGCGACTTGCTTTCTATTTAAAGCCTTTTATACGCGTTTTTCGAAAATAAATTTTCTATAAAACGCAAATATTCTATAAGTTCAGAGTTGTGCGTTTAGTAAAGAAGAGTGCACTCTAAATGTCGTAAAAATTCCTTCAAACCTTCAAAAGTTCATTAAAAATCGCATGAAATGAAGTTTGCGCGCTTCATAAATGTTGATTTGAAAATGAACGCGTTTACCCAACTGCAGACTCTTGAGTAAAAAATTCCAACTTCCAAAGTAAAGCAAGTAGAAACTTGAAAGATTGTCATTTCTCTTGACTTTTTTTAAACAAAAACCATAGAACTGGCACCCATATTTGCATATCTAAATCGGTTCTTTGGAGACACACTTCAGATGAGCTTGATGTAAAAATACAAAGCCACCTAAAATATTCCCGTTTATAATAAAGTTTGAAAATTTCTTGCGAATGAACCAATAGTTCTTGTATTGAATACTGGAACACAAATGTCCATATCTGAAACGGTTCTTTGTAGACAGGAAATCTGTCCAAAGCCAAACTTATTTCAAATCAGCAAAGCAAAGAGAGAAATATAAAGAATCCATAAAACTTCAGTTGCTTGACGGAAAACTGAACTCAGTTCTAGCTAAAAGATTATTCTTACCAGCTTTTTGCAAGCTGGCGCCCCATCCTCCATTTCAACGGAATAAATATGATTATTTAACAATTTAGTTGTTCGCCCTTTCGATGATTCATTCATTCACTTGGACTTTGGCAGTTCGATTTCAGTTTGTTTATTGTTGCCACTGTTTGCCCGGCAATATTTCCATAGGCAAATTTTACGTTCCCCCTCAACGAAAGTCAACAACACTAACGGAAAAACGCTCCAAGTGCCGATCTTTCACTAATTTAATTTTCAATTTAGAGCCGTTTATTTTTATCTGAGTTTCACTCAACTGCAGTGATTAATGCACAACGCCAAAACTAAAATTAATAACCGAATTAAATTTGTGTTTCTAAAAATATAGACTAAACAAAAAAGAAGAAATCACTTGTTGCTCAACTTTTTGAGCGTTAATAGAAATCAACGAAATTTCAACTAATGTCCTTTAAAAGTTCTGATTTCAAGAATTATTCCGCGACAAGCGCAATTCAAGGTGCGGCGCAGTAAGGCGCGATGAGTTATAACTCAACTCACAGAGCGACATCAACTAGAAAGCGCAACTCAACACAGTGTTGCCCAGGTCTACTGTAAATGCATAATATCAAGTGAAAAAAATTATTTTCTTTCTAGGGGGTTTAATAAAATGGTTCAAAGAGCTTCTTTTCAAGTTGACTGTAGGATTTTGAGAAAGATACTGCACATTTTCTTTTTACTGTTAAAAATGCAACTAGTCGGATCGTTTGGCAAAAATTATTTGTTTAAATTTGGAAATCTTGAAAAGAGCGCAAGATTTGCCCAATACACCCACTCACAGTCGCACATAACTTTTCCATGAATCTGATTTCCATGAGTCTTTGTAATTTTTATATCTACTGATTTCGAGATTTGCACTGTTTCATTTTTCACCCCGTAGTAAATTTTGCAAAAAAACACCAGCTGATACAAAAATAATTGTGCTAAATAACGTTTCAAACAGAAATCAAATATCTGGCATCAATCAGAATTAGCCAGTTCCAAAGTTAGGTCCAATTTAGTATTTAATAGGCCGTGTAATGTTTATTTTGTTGAACAGTCCACTTCATTTCTATTTTCATACTGTTTCTGTTTTTATAAAGTGTTTATAATAAGTTGGTTAAGAAGACAAAAATTGAGTTGGTTTTTTTCATTTGAAACCGTTTTTTGATGACTGAATTTCCAAGATATGAAAAATGCGTTTGCAAGCTATAATTTCATTAAACATTTTGGAAATGTTTAACGATCGCAATTCAGATTAGAAAAAGCATATTCGTAAAATATTCAATGTATCTATCATTAAATGGATTTTTGTCATCATTAATTTCACGTTGTTTTATCCATTCCATTTATCTAAATATACCAACATTGGTAAAATTGGCTGAAATTTTGATATTTTTGGCAAAAGCTGCTGAGTTCAGTATCAGTTGCAAAAAAATCGGAAAAAATGTATATTAAATTAACGCTGATCGGGTCATCTTTTATCTATATTTCCTATATTTTTTGAGTTTCTTCAACTTTCCTTCTTTCTTCGGCGTATTTTACTTATTTGCAAACCCCCTGTTTGTTTTTTTTGCGATTTAAACAAAATCCTACGGTTGAACTGTCTGATGTTTTTGGATCCATTTTAATAAATCGCTTAGAACGGAACGGATGGTTAAAACAGAATAAAAAAACACTTGAAATATATGATCCATTTGCAGCATACCTGTGCGACCAACCTGTTTCTTCGCAAAGTAAAACTATCTAATTATCCATTGTATAAGACACTAAAGGTAAACAATATAAATAAAAGAGAATGGACGCGAACTTTTAATTTTGCATCGAGGTCTTTACCGTCGTAAGTAGGTTGGTTTATAGTCAAAGATTAAGAGTAGTTTTGCCTATCAAAAGCTTAATAAATTGTAGATAGTTTTTCAGCTGATTATCTGGTATAAATATTCAATTGGAATTAAAAATAATATGTATTTTTTTCGCTCTGCGCTATTTTTTGCACTTTTTGCTTTCGTTTTGTCCCACTGTTAATTCTGGTTTTATTTTAAAACTTTGGTAATTAAGTCAATCTTAATGCTATTCAGCTTGCATTCAATCCGGCATAATAAAAAACTTCTTTTTTCCATCCTGATGGTCTTGTACTAATTCTAACTTTCACTTGTTAAAAGTCACATGTGCGGACCAAGTGATCATAATTCACCGAGCAAAATCCTGCAGCCAATAAGTAGTAATTTGATGGTTAAGCAGAAAACATCGCAAAACTCTTCATTGATACGAATCTTACAGATCTTAAGTGGGATTTTGGGTTTTTTCCTGATTTTTTTTTCGAGTTAGTCAGTTTTGCGCGATCATTCCGTATTGGCTGTAATGGATTTGAAAATCACTTTTTTGCTCGTTTCGTGTGTCGCTTTGGCCACTAGTTTGCCCACCATGTACAAAGTGAACGAAAATAAGGTGCTGGAAAAAGGTGTGATTAATAATTTATTGCAAGTCTTAATTTTTGCGATTATTTCGGGCATTTATTCGTGCATCTCTGTGTTTTGTAAAAGCGTTTTAATTATTTGAATGAAAAAGTCCGAAAAAATGTTTTATGGCTGCTAGAAACAAGCTTTTATTTGTAGTAAAGTGCAATATGCTGAGCCCAGTTTCACTTTTTGCGGAATTTATCTCGGAGAGTCAAAACGACGCATTTTCCATCTATTTTATTACCACAAAACTTGCGAATGTGGGTGTGATTTCAAGGAAATACCATTTGGGAGAATTTATTTTTAGTTATGATTTCTGTGGGTCCATTCTCTGGTATGAATTATTAAAAATGAAATAAAAAACAGCATGTGAAATTCACACAATTTTAGCTTTACAATAAAACTTCAATTCATTCTGGATCTACTATTTCTCTGAATTCCATTCCTTCGAATCTATATAGTTTTATTTTAAAATACTTATTTAGGAACATTTCTGAACACGCCCAAACCCCAAAACAAAAAAGTCGAAATACTATATATAATCAAAAACTGTATTAAATTATCCGCGCGTTTGCTTATAATTTTCCTAGAAGTTCCTAGAAGGTCCTAGAAGTTTTTGCTTGTGACTTGTACAAAAGCATTGATCCAGGCACGAAGTACAATAATTTTTTAATACGTTTGTAGACTTAGTTCCTGTATCATCAACCGTTATTCCATTGCCCATCTACAAGGTGAGTTCCGCTGGATACAACATTAAACCATTAAAAGAAGACGAACTGAATCAACGACCAAAAGGCCCTGTATCACTGATTACAGGTAAATGTTAAATTGTTTAGTTTCATTTCAATTTTAAAATTGTTCCTAGCATTTAAACAATTATAAACCTATTAACTATTCCCAAATGTGTTCCCAATAATGTATTGTTGATTTTCAGTTAACAGCAAAAAGCGAGTCATTCCCCAAGAGAAAAAACCCACAGTGAAACAAGTGACGAAGAAACCATAAAAAACTTAAACTGATCGAAAAATGAACACAAAAACTTTCAAGGTTCTGAAGTCGTTTGGCAACTAATTGTGTACAAAAACATTTAACAGTTGGAAAAATGGAGCAATTGCTTCCGAAGCGACAAACACTTCAACCAAAAAAAAAAAGAAAGTTACCACTAACCAATTACCTGAATTTAACGTACCTTATTGTTCATACGATGTACTTTTGAATTGCATTCTAATCCCGATCTAATTTGTTAAATAAATATTTTGTTCATAATAATCAGAAGAGTTTTATTCGCTGGTGATCTATTGTTAAGGCAATGAAAAATTGAAACGCTGCGTTGAGGAAATTATCAATTTCTTCAAGAAGTTCTGCTCAGTGCCTGTTTAATTCATATCAGGGATGAGGGAGGTTCTTATTAGAAACTCTTTACACCCTAACCAATATGCGTACCAAATAGAAAAATATTGCGAGTCTAGATCAACGTTCCTTCTGTAAGTGAACAAAGTTTAGATTTTCAGTTATAATCAGGGAATTTTCCACAATTTTTTCAAAAATGCGTTTCATTTACAAAGTTGTTTTTGCAAGTCGCAGTTTAACAATTAGTCATTGACGAACTAAGTAAGTAAGGAGGTAAGAAAGCTGCTTTTGTATGTTTTTCTAGGACAAATTCCGGTTTTTAACTGGCAAAAGTTTCGATTTTTCTCAGCATCAGACAATTTTCAAGAATATTTCAATCACGCGAGTTACATCACCGAGTTGAATGTAAAAAATGCTTTTTTCCATCACACTTGGTCGAAGGTAGAACGTCTGTCGAATTTATTTAAATAAATTGTTTAAAAAAATTAGTTTATTCGTTAAATAAACATAATTCGCGCCTTGTTTTCGTGATGGTGTTTCCGGGCCGGAGTTTATCATTTATTTCCTGTGTAACTTCGCAAGTAAATTATTTTGTAAGAGAATGTCCTTGTGTGAAGTGGACAAAGTTTCGATATTCAACCATCATCAGGCACGTTTAGGCTTTGACATTCAGTTATTGATCAATTAACAAAGAGAGAAAGTCGCTTTTGTATGTATTTTATAGCACAAAGTCCGCTTTATAACTAGAAAAAGTTTCGATTTGCAGTTATCATCAAATAATTGTCAAGAATTGATGGTTTTCGTAGGCCAGAGCTTAGCATTTATTTCCTCTGTAGCTGGTAAGTAAAATAACAATTTTGCGTTGCATTCCTTTCTATAAGGGGGCAACGTTTCGATTTTCAACCATCTTCAGGAAATTTTTGACATTGTTTCAAAAAAGTTTTTGATTTACAGAGTTGTTTTTTCAAGCCGGGGATAGACGTTTATTTATTGACGAACTATTTAAATGAGAGAGTTGCTTCTGCATGTGTTTAGGTAGGGCAGTTCTACAAGTGGCAAAAGTTTCAATTTTCAGTCATCAGGCAATTTTCAAGAATTTTTAAAAATTACTAGTTTCTGTGATTTTTTTTTAAGCGTGAGTTTTGTTTTTCTTTGTAACTCAGCACGTGAAAAAACTCATTTGGGTTGCATTTTGTAAGACAAAGTTATCATTGGGCAATTTTGAACATTTTTTCAAAATCGCGTTTGACTTATGAAGTGTTTTTTTCAAGCCGGAGTTTGTCATTTTTTTATTCACAAACTAACGTAAGCAAGTAAAGTCGGAAATAGAGTCGTTTTTGCATATATTTTGTAGGGCATAGTCTGTTCTGCAAGTGAGACACAATTTTTCAAATTTACGTCTGGTTTTCGTGATTTTTTGCATTTTGATTCCATTCTATAGTTGAGCAAAGGTTTCGTTTCCAGTCATCATCAGGAAATTTTGAAGAAAGATGTGTGTAATTTTCGCGATAATTTAAGAGGATTGTGTTCTGACATTTATTTCCTTTGGAACTTGCAAATTTAAAGAGTCACTTTTGTTTCGCACTTGCAGGTCAAACTGTCTTCTATAAGTGGAGAACGTTTCGATTGTAACCATCCTCAGGGAATTTTCAGGAACTTTTTTAGAATCTTGTTTGAATTTTTTAAATGTTTACAACGGGAGTTTAACAGCAATTTCGTCCAAAACCAACCAAGGGCAAGAGTAACTTTCGTATGGATTTTGTTGGACATAATCTGTTTTCTGTTTGGTAGTAGCGAAAGTTTAGGTTTTGAGTAATTTTCAAGTTTTTTAAAGTGCAGTAGAATTTTGTCGTTTTTTTGTACAGACCTAAGTTTGGCATTTTTTTTCTCAGAAACCAGCAACATTGCCGATACACTTTTGCACGCATTTTATAGAGCAAAGTGTGTTCTCTCTTTGGAGACAATTTCGTGTTTGAGTCCTCGTTAATTTTGGCAAGTGTGTTGTACACATACAACACAGTTCTCTTTCAGTTTTGAAGTTCTTTTACAGGCCTAAGTTTGGGCATTTATTTTCTCAATATCTACTAAAGTTAGATAATAACTTTTGCCACGTTTGTAGATCAAGGTTTGCTTTATACGAGGAAAACGTTTTGATTTTAATTCATCCTTAGGCACTTTTCAGGATTTTGTTTTCAATTTAGTTTGCATTCTGCGCTTGCTCATACAGGCCGAGGTTGAACAGGTTTTCCTTCAGAAACCAGTCATGTTAAAAAGTGACTTTTAAATGCATTTTTTTGGCATAGTTCGTTTTATAAATGGCGAACATTTCGATTTTGAGTAATCATCAGGCTACTTTAACATTTTTTTTTTATTTGCGATCAAATTTGGCGGGCTTTTATGCAAGCCTAAAGTTTTTTGCTTTTGTTCTCAGAAACCAGTATGGTTACATGTGCGTTTCGTAGGGAAAAATGAGCTATATATCAAAAAAGTTTCGATTTTGAGCCATTGTCAGGCCATTTTTGAAAAAAGTTTCATTTTTTAAGTTGCTTTTGCAGGCATAAAATTGGCCTTTCTTTAAAAACTAGAAAATTTAGAGAGTTGGCTTTGTAAACATTTCCTAGTACCAGCTGTGTTCTACAAGACCCCTCGATTTTGACTCATCTTCAGGAAAATTTGGACAATTTTTTCAAATTTTCTTTGTAGTTTGCTTTCGTTCATGCAGACCAAGTTTATAAATTGGTATGTATTCCTAATGCGACAATTTTAAATCAACAGACAGCAATTACCTTCGTAGGTAGCTGACTATAAATTACAAAATGTGTTTTATGTACTCTAAACTAGAACATTAATTTCCTCATAATTATTAATTGCGATTTTCGATTAAGCTGTTGTGCGCAGCTAAATTAGTGGATTAATAATAAACGGAATGTTTTTTGCCGATCATTCTCGTGTCGTGGTACCCTTCGATCGAAAAACTCCACCCTAATGAATAATGTGCCATGTAAAATCAGCACACATTTAACAGTTCTGTTTGTTCAGCGCTCAAAATATTAAATTAATTTCGGAAAAGTCTAAACAGGAGTTTTCCCCATATTTGTTTTAATATAAATTATCAATGAACTTGCGGAGCTGTTAGTTTTGGAAATGCGCTCAATTTCCTTGTGTAAATTTTGCGGATAATACCTCGGCGTTTCGACCATTTTAACGGCGCTTGTGTTTAATTTCACTAAAACCACAAAACGCTTACTGACTGAAAAGTACGCTAATTCACCCGGCGGGTTGTACGGAAACAAGATAATTCAACAAAGCTCAAAGAGTTAAAGTAGTCGAATTAACGGCACAAATATGCGGAATAATCTGCACTTGGAAAAAAATTCGAAGAATTCGTTGTCGAAACATATAAAGTTCCCCTGAGTGTTGGCAATAAAGCGCCAGAAAACATTATCATATACAAAACGTTTTGTATCAAAAAGGAAATGAATAGACATAAAAGAAACACTACCATAAAGTGGCAGTAATAACACCAGCAAAGGAACAGTCTGAAATCATGAGAAAGATATTCGTGTCTCTAATTTTTCGAAGAAATGGTCGCTTAATGGCGACGCAGGGTGATATAATATTAAATATGGCATGGCAAGGGGCAATAAATGTGAGACAGAATACAATAATTACTATGGTCGGCATGAGCGAGACTGTTGTCCACTCTTCAATTGATCCCCGGCACGAATATAAGGATCTCGCTTTGGATTAATCAACAGGAAAAGGACCTTTTCGCCTTTATGCTGCACGAAAAACGATTAGGAATTTACTTAGAGGCCCCTGCCTTTCGAATTCATTACTTAGGAGCTTAATCCATACAAGTGTAACTACTATGTAATATTTTTTCTTCGGCTAATCGCCCAAGTCTGCATTCTCGGCGACATGCAGTCCCATTTTCTTTCGTTCCAACAAAAAGGGTTGGGTAAAAACGGTTCTTTTAACTTTCCACTAATTTTCAGCATTTAAAACCTTGTTAAACAATCAGTAGAAGTATTAATTAAAATTCCTGCTAATATGGTCGATTAATTCAGTGGATAAACCTTATTTTTGTCCTGTTTGAAGCCAAAATGTTGGAACATACAATTCGAAACATTAGTAGACGGAAGCAGCAAATTTATTGAGCAAAAGAAGGGAWGATCGAAAAATCATATAAAAAATGTGTTCAATAACAAACACTCTTGACTTGGACGAAGTGAAGATATTGAAAACTCAGGCAACAAAAGCCCTGAAACACGCAGAAGATGAACGGACAGTCGAAAGTGATGAAGCACCAGTCATTTTTAATCCTTCGATGGAAACTACGCTGGAAGTGAACAAATTGCAAAGAAATATTGAATGACATCAGGAAATATAGTGTTTATGGAGCAAGAAAGTCGTCAAAAAACTAGTCGMGTACCTGATTAAAGAAGCTACAGAAAACTGGATGGAAGGAAACTGTCAAGTAATGTTTAAATAACAAAATAATATTTTCACATTTCTTTACTTAGCTTAGCTTCACTTTTTACTGTTTTCTCTCAGGGCTTTTGTTGCTTTATTTTTATTATATTGCAAGAATTTCACAGCATTTCAGTGAAATTATTGCACACAATAAAATTGATTGTCATCAAATTGACCTGGAAGAGCCAAATATAATAAAAATTAGGCAACAAAAGCCCTGAGAGAAGCAAAAGAAGAAAAAACAGTAAAAAGTGATAAAACCTGAACACAGCTTTCTTTCATTTTTAGTTATCTTATGGAATCTACGCTAGAGTAATGGAACAAGTTGCAAACAAAGACTTGATGACATCAAATCATAGCGTTTATGAAAAAGAAAAGAAAATTCAAACAGAAAATAATCCAAGCAAATGAAAAACAAGTCGACTACATAATTAAAGAAGCTA